GTAGCCCATGGCAACCCACTGCCACAGGGGCTGCAGCCTACGCCGTCATCGGCGACTCACAGCAGCCCAGCTCCAGGTTGAGCTGTTCAGCATCTTAGCTGTGGAGGGCAGTGTCACTGGCCCTCATATGTGGGATCTGAACCCAGGCCCTCTGGCATCCCAAGCCAGTTCTTAACCATCGCGCCACTCGGCCGCCCGAGCGAGACTTTTTTTATGCATTGTACCACACTTCTTTCCATGGAAAAAGTTAGGGTTGATAGGGCTGGCTTTACATATATAGATCACAATATAAAATACTACAAGTACTATACTAATAGTTTTTTGGGGAGCTAGGGGGATTCGGAAGAGGGGCTGGTCATGTGTACACTGGGGAGGTTCAAAGAGGCTTCAGACGATGAGCCTAACTTTCCATGAAGTAACGTGGGAGATACAATTGCCCACCTCACATGGTGGTTGTAAGGATCAAATCAAATTACAAATGAACTCTTCCTCACAGGATTTGTTGCCCAGAAGGAGGACACCAACAGGTTACATTCCCAACTCTCCTTTCTCCTGAAGCCTACATAAAATAATGTAACTCAAGGTTGACAGGATATAGGCTTTTACTTCTCATAACCAGGAAAAAGAGGAAATGAGAATTGGAAGCTGAATTTAAGGTCAGAGCCTCTCTGCCTTCTCTCATGTCTCATGATCACAGTGGTGGTGTGGGAGGAGGGGGGGCATCCACTGAGGAAACCCAGGGAAGCATAGAGTAATTGAGAACCCACACTGGAGACAGTATATATAAACAAAGTGCAGATAGCCACAGGGGAATTAGGGCATAGAGCAACCGGAACTGTGCTAAAAATGGGTGCAAGTGCCATGTGGAGGTGGGGTATTCTAGTGCATGGATATGCATTGATGAGGAAGGTATTTCCCAATGTTAAAATCCAAGCCATGTGAATGTGAAAATTTTTGGTCACTGATCACTCATTCATTTCAGTTTTGAAAAAGACAGAAATAAAGAGAACTGCAAAGACACCTGGGAGATAGAAAGTTACAGCAAATGGTGTCAGGGACTTTATGCGATGAGTGTATTAATTGGCACATCTGTATAGCATTCAAGGAATTCAAGTACTTATAATACTTGGAGCTGATTCTTATTTTAACAGCTATTGGTCATTTAGACAGCTTTCAAAAATTGTGTTTCAGTGTGAAATAGTTGAGATTGTTCTAGTTCACTGTGGGAAGAATTACTTCATAAGATAGATTTTAAAAGTGTTCTGGGAATAGACATAATATCTAAATAGCCAATATGTACAAGTCTATGTCAGATGAAGAAATAATCCTCACTTATGCACTGTTTAGAAAATCCACTTTAAAATGAAATAATAATTAATGACAGCTGTCTATTATAATGCCACATAGTTTTTTTAATGCTAGAATATTTTTATCAGAAATCATTGTCACATTAACTTGATTATAGTTTCATTACTCAACTATGAAACAAGATGCAGACAAATCTTATGAGGAGGGTTTTGATTACTTAATACAGTAAAATTGTTATTCCAAGTTATAGAGACATGCACATAACAATATTCTTTAGCTACTGAATAATGGCTATATACTGATGACAATAAGAATTAACAATACTTTCTATTTATCAATAACAACTTTCAATTAATAAGGTAAAAATAATCAACATGATGGTCACATTGTAATTACAAATAAATATATTATTATACTTTCTGTAGGTATATGTGTATGTGAGTATGTGTTACAGATAGTATTAAACCCAAGTTGACTTTAAAAAGGAGTAAATTAGGCCTATTACCATGCACTTACATTATCAGGGTGCCTTTATATAATGTTTTCATGTCAAATAAAGTCTAGAGTTCTAGTCAATTAGAGTAAGTCCCTTCCCACTTCCAGCCGGAACACCTTACCTCTCCTGCATGAACTGCTAAGACAATCACACTCTACTCTCTCCCATTCTGCCATACTTCCTCCCTCACCCTCCTTGCAGGTGGGAAACGGTGGGTGCAAGGAGGAAGAAATTCACTGCTGAATGACAAGATAATACAAGTGGGTAACAGAATGGAAAAACCAGCCATACATAATTATTAGATCAAGATGGATGTTTGTTGTAACAAAAAGAAAGATCATCCTTTAAAGCGTCTTCAGCCTTGTACTCATAAATGCTCTAAAATATTTGCGTGTGAGACACAAGGTGTCTAAACAGGACCTGAAGCAATAATAATATTAATTTAAAATTAGCAGTGATGTTCTCAGTTAAGACCTCTACATTACTTTTGCTTCTGGAAGAATAAAACTAGCTGTGCATGTTCCTAACATTACAATGAAGTAAAAAGGATCCAAGGGTTTTATTCACATGGCTTATGTCTTCAACAATAACAGAACTGTAACTGAGCGCAATCTGATATATTTTCACCAGTTTATCAGACTAGCTTCCAATCAAAGTTTTCTTCTCCAGCTGTAAGAAAAGAAATATATACATAAAAATAAACATACTTCCTGTGTTTTAAAAGAAGATAAGATGAAGAGAACCTCAGGAAATAAACATTTAGTCCCCTAAATTATGCTAGCTCATGTACTCTGCTACTGAAAATCCAAAAAAACAATTGTGTTTCAATTGATTTGGTTTTAAAATTTTTCCCCTCAGCTTGAGACACATCAGGTAAGTCACGTTTCACATCTGACTCTCCATAATGAATGAAACTATAACGTGGCATGAATGGTAGAAATCTGAAAAGGCCACACGTCTTGCTCTAAGTATACCTGATGTCTAAAACACCCACTATTGGAACCACTGGCTTGCATCAAGGTTCCTTATAATCCCTGTTAAAATGCATCTACTCGGGAAAGATGGCATAGGAACACATTTTGCACGCATTCTCTTATGAGTTGAGCAGCTAGAGGTCTGGGGAGGAAATGAGACAGAAAGAAGGGACACTTGTTAGCTAGATGGGACTGCAAAACTTTAGAGCATGAGGCATCACTTCAGGCACGGGGATAGCTACGGAGTCAGATGATAATAGGTTCCTGGGACTTTAAAAATGGGTAGAAGAGCTGAACTACAATAAGATAGGGAGAGAGAGTCGCCAGAGGCAAATGCCTCTTCATGTTCTCTAAAAACATCTCTCGCTAAAACCACATTACTTCAGTTACAATATAATTTGAGTGCCTGAGTTACATTTTAACCTGAATTGCCAGCACATTTTGAAATATTGGTGATAACAGGCTGCTCTTTAAAGAGAAGAAATAAAAAAGCTCAACAAGAAAGACATCCCTGTATATAGACCACTGAAATGAAAACACACTATATAAAATAAGAGCCTTCCAAATAATACCTAGGGACTTAAGAATAAAAACATTGAAGGTGACTAGTGATTAATATATCATGGGAATCCAAAATTTAGACTAATAAAATTTTGTTTGATCATCAGAGGCAAACCTCTCTGGAAACTTCAATAATTAAAAAATATGTATTTATTTTCCAATAAAGACTTGAAATGAGGATCTATAATTACACATTCCTCCCTAAAGTTTCTAATGAAGACCCCTCACCTCCTCTTTAAAATTAGCTCTCCCTTTCCATTCTAGCTCACTTTCCTTTCTGGTTCTGCACATCTTCCCAGCAATCAAATCTAAAACTTCACTATCAACCCATCTCCACCAGCACTCTCCTCCTACCGATGTCAACAATCAGGAACTGTGCCAAAGACTGAATTTAGAAAAGATGCCCTTGGAGGCAGCGTCCTCTACCTACTATTTAACTATTTTTTTATCTTCTTACTGCAAGAATTCTGAGAGCCATGTCAGCTAGTACCTACCTGCTATCTCTTTACTCTGCAGTTACTTCCTTGCCCCAAATTCCCTGTAAACAAGGTTTCACAAGGGGCACGGTAGCTGCAAATCATATCACTGAGCAGTTGCTGAACAGAAGTCTTGTGAACCACTCGCTGTTCAGGGACCCCTCCCAACCAACACAATCTTCCTCTCCCCTGGATTTCTGTACTCTTACTAACCATCCTGCTATATTTGATGCTTCTAATCACTCCTTTCCTGAAACTTTTCATTGCCTTCTGGATGTGCTGTCTTTCTGGTTCTCCTTTTACACTCCTGCCTGCTGCTTTTGAGGTTCTCGTGATCCCTGGGCATTCTCCAAGGCAAATTCTTTACTATCTGCCCTTGTCCCACGACATCTGAGCCCTCGGAGGGATTTGCACTGTCATGGTTTCAACCTTGATTAACTGGTTCTGAATTTCCAGTTGTTCCCAAACCTAACTGATCATCAGAATAATTTGGGGGAACTTCTCAAGGATACAGATTCTGAGACTTCACTTGAGTAGCACAGAATCAGCCTCTGGCCTGAGGCCCAGAAATCTGCATGTCCAGTAAGCGCTCCAGTTAACTCTGATGGAACCAGCCTACAGATGGGCAGTAGAGAACCACTGATGTGTACACCTTGACTCACTGGAATGTCTTTGTCATCTCAAACGGAACCTTCATTACATCCACAGAAAGTTTCATTCCTTATCAGAATCACCATCCTAAACTCTCACACACAACACTTTACAACAGGTGGTTGATTCTGGGTTCTCTCTTTTATACCTTCAGTGAATAGTTACCTCGTGTTCTCTATTCTTCCTCCCAGGATACCTCAGAGTGGAGCGTGTCCATCCATTCCCACTGACTGACTGTACCTCATGACTTCACTCCTACATTACTTCAAGTTCCTTACTGATTCCCTCTCCAGCCTTTCCTCTTCAACACCACCCATTTGAGAGGTGGTGTGGCATAATCAAAAGAGCTATAGAGTCATGCAGACCTGAGTTAAAATCTCGATATCACTTCTTACTAATCATGTGACCTTAGGGAAGTAAATGTACCTCTTGAAGGTGTAAAGATTAGCTTTAATCTAGAAAGATTAATATCTGACGCATAGCAGATGTTCCCATATTGTAGGTACTGTTATTGCTCTTATCGTCATTTTATATGCCATAACCAGACTCATCTTCCTTCACCAGGTCATCTCGCTGCTGAAAATCCAGAAGGCATCTTATTGATTCTCAGATAAAGAATAAGTTACTGTCTATTCTTCATCCCAGTTCCAGTGTGTACCTGCTGTGACAGTGGGCAAATTACTAAATCTTTCTGTGCCTCTATTTCCTTATCTGTAAAGTGTGGATACTATCAGCATTTACTTCCCTGGGTTCCTGTGAGGATTAAATGTATTAGTCCACATGAAGTGCTTAGAATAGTGCCTGACCCAGGGCATTCTAGTAAGCCTTCAGTAATTATTAGCTAATGGTAGTAGAGATAGGAGCAAGAGTCATCGTAGCTCTGACACGACCACCACTCTTACATTCTGCTATTCCATGGACTGCTCTCCCTATCTTTTCACTGCAAAGGCCATTCCCATTCTGGCTTTTGCTTAATGTACCTGCCACAGAATCTGGCACCTCACAGTCATGAATGCATATTTGCTGAATTAAGTATTACAACCCCCTCTCCTCACCCAAGTCAGCCCCAGCCTTACTCTAAGTTCAGAAGACCCCTTCACCCCACTCTCTTGCATTTGCTTCTCATAGGTATTTTTTCACAACAAAGCCATAAGCTTGAAGCCAGAAAGTGCTTTCTGCTCTTTCTCCCCCTCCCGCACATGCCCCATCAAATACCAGGCACGCATAGGCTTCCTCCATGAGCACAAGTGTCAGAGCAGTGGGCCAGCAACCTGTGCTTTGGTCACCAGATCACTCACTGTACTTTTTATGCATTTAAACACTTCAATTATGTCATAAGTATGGCATCGTTACAATTATTGAGAGGGAAAAGTCTAGGTCTATTTATTATGCTTCGTTGACCTCTATTATTAATAGTAATAAACATATATCTTCTTCCTTTGGCTCTTAGAAATCCTGTACGTGGATATCATTATTCCATTTTACCAATTGATCCTAAGGCTTGGGGTCCCCCAGCTGGTAAAGCAGCTGAGCCAGAATCTGAACCTAGTCCTATTATGCACTCCAAAGCCCTGGCTAATCCGCTACCAAGATGACTTAATTCAATGAGTAGTTTTAATGTTACATGAACAGAGTGTCTCTACTTGAAGATTACACCTAATCCTGATAGAGAAGAAACTGCCTAGGACAGTGAAAATTATGCAAGCTTAGAATAAGAACTGGCTCATATCTATTAGGGTGAACCGTATGAAACTGCTGTGTTTGTAAGTAAAAACTGGTTGATTTTCAGCAATTTTATTTGGGTCAACCTCTAATAGTGAGCAACTGGATTTATAATTATTTAAACCTCTTTTGGCCTCAGTTTTTTTCAACTGCAAAATAATGAAGTTGGAACTTTGTGTTGTTTTAGTCCTAGAGTTCTAAAAGAAATAAAGGTTACAATAGGCTATGGATTATGGAATTCATATGAAATTCCCCAGTCTCACCAAGGAATGTTTTTACATTAGTGGACTTACTTTAAAGAGAAATATACTGGTCTTTAAATAATAAATATTGTGTGAATTTCTGGAGTGGGGGACAACTGTTATTTTTAAAAATCTGAATAAATAAAGGCAATTTCGTTGTCCTCAACATAGAATTCCAAAAGTAAGTAAAGCTCTCTGTCCTCCAGTTGAAAGAGGTCGCTATATGTGTACCTTCTTGTGGTTTCTGCAAGGAAGCCAACAACAGAGCTGCTGCTGCCTCTGGAAGGGTTAGTAGTCGAGGATTTGGGCTTCGTCTTTCTGGATAAAACAAAAACGTATACACATTCTATTAGCATTTAAATATTCATATAGATAAACCCTAACCCATTATGCTATGACACTAGAAAAATCTCTATGAAACTGCTTATTGATCCCTCAGCAAAGGGCCTCTCCACAGATCGATTTTTATCAATCAAAACATTTCACACTTCCCTTGCACATTTACTTAAAATTGGTTATGTTGTATAATACAGGGTATGGAAGATAATTTAAACTATATACTACACAGAATTTCATGTTAGGAAGGAGGATTAAGATAAAGAGCCAGTGAGAAATTTCTCCCTTCAGAGGTTACCATGGGATGTCTGGGTAAAAAGGTTTAGATGTGATTTTGCTTGGAGCCTGGACTGCCTCCTCTCTCACTCTTTCCAAAACAATTTGAGATACTAATCTACATTCTTGGCCACACGGAAGGCAATTATTTGACTGAAGCAGTATCTGTTAAATATTCAAAATTATTTCAAATCTAAGTTGACAGAAGACAAAATATCCTGACTCAACACAAACCATGATTTTTACTTTGGGAGCAACTGAAGTGGGAAAACATACCTTATCCTTATAAAGTAAATAAGCTTAATTATACACTGCAAGCTTGAAGGTAAACAAAAATTTGTTAAGCACCTACTATGTGCTTAACACAGAGTTTGGTATTTTTCAAAATAAGTATACTTTTTATTTTTAGCATTTCAATCTTCACATTTTATCAAAATTAATTGTATAGTTATTTTTTTTTAATTAGGTGGCACGGAAAGGTTTATCATGAAAAGTAACAGTCCCTGTCCCCATTCTTTATAGCCTCCATTTATTACATATTTCTGGTTTTGACTCTTTTGATAGCTCTTTCTATTAATAGAGGCATACATTTGAAATTTCTAGGTAAGTCACTATTTTAATAATAATAATAATAATAATAATAATAACCACCAGTGTTTAAGAGGAAACTGTGTGAAGGTCCTGTCACAAACGGGAGATACGTTTTGGGGTCCGTTGCACAGTTCTCCCTACCCTCCCTTATCCCTAGGAGCTGAACCCCAAGCCTTGGAAAACTCCCCGGCTATCTCTACCCGGTGGCCAGTGGGCCATCTGAGCCTTTGAGACCGAGTCAAGCTTGGGGACTCGCAGCCCCCGCTTCCGCCGCCCCTGCCACCATTAGGAGGGGGCGTCGCGAGCCCCAATTCCCGCGTTCTGCCGATATGGGCTGGGCAGGAGCTCGCTCTCTGGGGGGCCCCTGCGCCGAGTCCTTCGTGGTGGGGGGACGCTTTCATTCGGCGCCGGGCGGAGAGCGTCCTACGCGCTGGGTCCGGCTCTAAGTGCCAGACCGGCCCGCGGGCTCCCTCGGTCACTCACCTGGCGGTGGCCTGTCGGAAAGGTCCTTCCTTCGACTCTGGTCGGAGATGAAGCGGCGCCCCTCTGCAAAGGAGAGACATGGGGTTCAGCGCCCGCCCGGCGCGGGACGATCCGGGTTAAACCAGAGCCGCTCCGCGCCTCCCCGCCTCGGAGCGGGATAAGGGGGACACGGCGGTGACCGCGGAGAAGGTGGGAGGCACCTGGTCAGGTCCGCGCTGAGCCGCCAGGTTTCCGGCGCTCGGCGTGCAACCCTGGGCCGAGCCAGGCGCTGGTGAAGACGCCAGGAGGAAGGTCTCGCTCGCCCCAGCGCGGCCCGCGCACCCCTGCCAGTGCGATGTTTCCCAGGGAACCCCAGAGTTGTCCTTTGTGGCAAGAGCGACCCTCCAGTTTAGGTTGGAGGGTTTCTAACCAGACAATCAGAGAGTCCTCCCGTTCCACCGCCACCCCCACCTCACCACCCCCCTGTAACCTCCCTACTGTCCCTTTTCCTTGACTAATAGATGGGGATGACCTTGACTTCGATTATTTAAGGGAACAAACTCGATATTATTCTCTCTCCACAGCTCTCCATCTATCTCATGGATTCTTGAGCCCCAAGGATCTTCCTTTTTTGCTGTAGGAAGAGCAAAAAGTATTTGGAACCTACGTGCACCCTTCAGGTAGAGCATAGCTTGAGGAGTCCAGTTCCTTCTCTCGAAGAGTCCCTACAACCCAGGAGAAGAGAAAAAACAGTTAATAAGACATTGCAACCCAGTCCTCTATTAGGAAAAAAAAAAGAAAAGATAGAAGGAAAGAGAGAGAGAGAGAGAGAGAGAGAGGAGAGAGAGATTGAGAGAGAGAGAGAGGAAAAAAAGGAAGGGGGGGGAGGGGAAGAAAGGAAAGAAAGAACATTCAGGAGCCTCAATTTTTAAAGTTGATTACCTGTGGTGCACTGCTGGAATGTCCCATGAGAGAAAACACCAGGAAAAGAGCCAAGGTTGCTGCCGCCAGACTTCTGAGTCCCTATAAGAACAGATAAAAGAATTGATAACTCCTGGCAGAATCAAAGGAAAATCATTTCTGTGCCTATAGAATCTTCTACTTCCTACCTTGACGCCTGGGCAATTACAAACTCCTTACTTTTTGCTATGCTCTCTACCTTTTAGTTAATTCACAAAAGAGTTCTCTTAAAAAAAATTAGAAATATATTATTTTCATTACTTAACCCAAATGAGGAATTGTGTGAATAAGTGATTTTTTTAGTAAAATCAAATGATTCTAATATTTTAAGGCATATTGTTTAAGTATCTTTTAACCTCTAAAATGCCTATTAAACGTAAAATTGGTAGAAAGCTATAAAGCCTTTTATAAAGTAAAGTCTTAAGTAAGTAAAACCTTTACTTGCCTTCATGTTCTGCTCCTTTCCAGAACCTGCAATGACTATATCTTCACCTGAGTTTTCCAGTCATGTTCCGATGGTGGGGCTTTTAAAATCTTAGTGTCAAGGACCCCTCCCGATCGTCAGTAGAGTTTGGGAGTCCACAGGGACTTCTTGTCAGTTTTCAAGATTGAGAAGATCTGATGACTCCTCCAGGAAGATTTAACTGCAGGAAGTAGAGAAATGATTGATGAGTGGACATCATTTGTTTAGATACCATATCAGCCAGGAGATATGCTGAAAATATCAGCATTATTGCCTTTGCTTCCCAAAGCATTGTCGTCATCGTCATCATCATCATCATCATCATCTAAATAAAGTGATTAATAACTCCTGGAAGAATCAAAAGTAAATGAATAAAGTAAGAAAACATGTTTTGGGTAACGAGCTATCAAGCTATCACTGATGACTAAAGATGAATCATTTAGGAGGCAACGAAAAGGTTAGGGAATCTCAATGGAATTTTTTTTCCTCAATGGAATTTGACATCTGTTATTCACTTAGTTACCCATCCAGTTATTTAACAACTATTTATTGAATGCCTACTATGCATTAGACATTTCTCCTTTTACTTGAAAGGACACAGCCATGCATTAGAAAGTCTCTTCTTTGGTCAATCTTCTAGTCAGGGGAGAAACACTTTACACTAGTAAACAGGTAAATAAGGTAATTACACTCACTTTCCTAGCCTCCCCATCATGTAAGGTGTGGGCACATGACTCAGGCTTCACCAATCAAATGTGTCCACTCTGATGGGAAATCTGGAGCTAGGATGAAGGCTAGTGGGGATCAGGAGAAATACTTCTGGTGCAGCAGTAGTTGTAGTGAGCTTGAGTTTGGGGGACAATACTTCCTTCAGTGCTAATGGCAGATTCCAGGATGGTGTTACCACCTGCAGTGTCCTTTTACTGAAGCCCTCTTGCTTAAATCAGTCCAGTTTGCTGGTTTCTTTTTTTTTTTTTTTTAGCTGAGCCATCCCGCCACCTGTTGGCAGCTCACGGCTGCTCAGCTCGTGCTGACTCGAACCGCTGTTGCTCAGAGCTCAAACTCTTGAGCGAGCTCTTAACCAACTGAGCCACTCGGCCGGCCCTTCCAGTTTGCTGGTTTCTTGATGACAACTAAGACACTATTTGCAGGACATGTATACTGATCAATAGAGAAGAAGAAATGATGATGTGGAAGAGAACTAAAAAGGAATGCGTAGAAGGCAAGAGGGATAGGACCCAAAATACGTCGCTATTCAGTGGAAACAATTATATACACAGGCAGGTACTCAAGGACCTGAGTACCCACCATATGCTAAGGTACCATGGATTAGCAAGATGGACCTTTCTTCTAAAAGTTAGTGCAGTGCTCCTCAGGTATATTGTGCATATACATCACCTGGGAATCTTGCTGAAAAGCAGATTCTGATTCAGTCCAGCTAGGGTGGGGCCTGATATTCTGGATTTCTAATGAACTACCGGGTGATGCTGATGGATGCTACTCTACCGATTGTTGGGCATTTTTTTTTAAAGAAATTTTATTGGGAGAACAGTGTTTTTCCAGGACCCATCAGCTCCAAGTCAAGTAGTTGTTTCAATCTACTTATGGAGGGTGCAGCTCTGCAGCCCATGTGGGAATCGAATCGGCAACCTTGGTGTTATGAGCCTGCGCTCTAATCACCTGAGCTACCCTGCTGCCCCAATTGTTGAGTATTTTGAGTAGTAAAGCTTTGGAGGATATAAGAAGTGATCAAAACTAAACCTTAGAGTCTATGTGGCTGGGAGGATGGCAAGCAATAGAAATATCAGGATGTATGGGGAGAGAACAGATGAGTTTGGTTGGGGATTGAAGTTTGAGGGGCTGATGCTATATCTACTTTCAAATCCTTGTATAAGAGAGATTGAGATTTGGGCATTTGATATTTAGACTTGGACAGTCACGTGCAGACAAGAAAACTGAGGTCTGGTTAGTGAATGAGAATGAAATATAGACAGTATTTTGTAGGTAGAAGCTTGAGGAATATTTACTCACTTTAAAGAATAAGCAAGAAAGAGCCAGAGCCATTATGTGGCGTTTTCTGTGTAGGGAGACAGAAAAGATAAAAACTAAAGACTACAAGGTTAACACCAAAACTGGATAAAAACGTCTTTAATCATTAGATTTTAGGATTTAATTTCAAGGGACTGTAGTAACATCCCAAAAGAGCAATAAAATAAAATTATGCATGTGTTTGTGATTTCAACACACTATTAAGTGAAGCCCAATTTGGAGGTTACCTATCAAACAAGTAAAATGCCTTTTTCCTCTCTCCATACCAAGCACACATAAAGCTTTTAGAAAGAGGAACAGGAAAATGAAGCACCAATAAAAACGTGTTTTGAATTTACAATTTTAAGGAAAAGGCAATGAATGTGGTCTGTTTATAACAGTGTAGCTAACGAATTCACAAGCAGATGTTTTGACGTCAAAGCTGCCATTTTCAGTATAATATGCACAAGTAAAGAGAATGGTTTTGGCATATTATCAATACTGTAGTCTTATCAAAAATAACATGCCAGAATGTGTTTGTTCTAAAAGGGCAATGACTCTCCATGAAATGTTTTTTGTTAAATCACAACATTTTTAATATTTTTACAGGTCCAAACCTAGAGATGGGCAAAGAAAAGTTTTTGATAATGAACAGCTGGTGGATAAAACCATGGAACTTTATTCTGCTGACATTATGACCAGGGAGTGGGCATTGAACAAATTGGATTCTAAACCTTTTTTAAAGGCGTATTCAATAGAGGCCATTTTGCCTGCATTGCTGATGTTATCTGAATTCTAGTCGAGTGCATTCTCAGAAGGTCAGTGATTCCTGTGTTCACATAGAAAACAGCTCGTATCTTGGGTAAGGTTACATGGACAATATGGCTATTATGATACTAAAATATCCCAATTACTTCTTTGATGACAGAAAAGAGAGGGTTTTGAAATAGTGTGAATAAAGTCATTGGGGTCAGTCTCCTACTTTGGCTTTATTCTCTGTCAGGGCCAGTCTGCCCCCTAGGTCAGTTGTCTCTCAAACAAGTGAAAGAAGTAATTTCCCCAAAGGGCTATCAGTTTTAGGATGGGCTTTAGGGGCGCTGAGAAGGCCTCCTATCCAAAATAAAACTCCCCATTCATTGGACAATGTCTTTACTGTCTTCCTTTTACCTAAGGCTTTGAGCCTCAAGAATCTCTTTTCCATAACCAAATAAAGACAAAACAAATGGAAAGTTCTGTGGGAGGACAAAGATCAGCTGTTTTGGTCTAGTGGGTCAAGAAAGGTATGACAGAGGTGACCGTTTAATTAGGTCTTGAGGTAGTAAAGAAAAGATCATAGAAAAGTGTCAGTTGAAGGATTTGGGCCATACTACTTCTGTGTTCAACCTCCTACATGGATACAGGTAGCAGAAAGGGAGAAGTTGGAACCTTTTAGCCCTGGGGACAAAGTTAGAAAGGTATGCTAGATATTTAATAACATATTCAAGACTTCCAGTTTACTAGACAATAGTCAAAACTTGCAGTTTAATGGGATTCAACAAATACTTATTGGGTACTTTAAGTGGTCAGCTTGGCAAGTTTTTTTGGCCTTACCAAAATTTATGATCAAAACTGATGTGTTAAGTGGTTTTATTTAAGTCACAAATACTTAAGTGTTACATATTACTTCCATCTTGAGACAAAAAAAAAAAATTAAGCATTGCTCCTCTAATTTCTGAATTCACTGCCTACTTTTTTGGTTTACCTAAAGTCCATTTCTACTTACGATTACATTTATACAATTTGGAAATAAAAGATGTGATGACCAAAAACAGAAAATTACATATAAAGCAAATTTTACAAAAAACAAGACGGGTTACTGTATGACAATGCTAGTTTTTAGAATTTCACAATAAAGATACATTTGACCATTGTTATGGACTTATGTGTATCCTTCCAAAATTATGTCTATGTCTTAAGACCCAAGATGGTCCTTAGAAGAGGATATGAAGATGGGGCCCTCCATGATGGGATTAGTGTCCTTGTAAGAAGAGGAAGAGACACCAGAGTTTACTTGCTTTCCCTCTCTACCATGGGAGGACCCAGGGAAAGGTAGCAATCCACAAAAAGGGTCCTCACCAGGAACTAAATCTGCCAGCACCTTGATTTCAGACTTTCCAGCATCCAGAACTATAAGAAATGTCTTGTTATTTAAGCCACGCAGATTATGGAATTTCATTATAGCAGTCCGAGCTCACTAAGACAACCACCAATTAATAGAAAAGTACCCTTTTATTGAGAGGTAAGACAAGTGTATTTACAATATTCAATTGTTAGATCACATAATCTGACTATGAAGCTTTTTAGAGCAGCAGTATTCCAGGAATTACAGTTTTTAAGGGGAAAAGAAAAACATTCCAAATAGGTTTCTGTTACAGAAAATACATTTGAACAATGCCAGAAACACTTAAGGCTAAGTAGAATTAGACCTTTTCCTCCACCTTTATAGCAATGATCATGGTACATTTTTTTTTTTTGTCACAAAGACAGAGGGCTAATAATTTTAAAAAGGAAGAAACAATATGTTTTAGAAAAATAATATGTTTTAGAAAGAAACAATAGTCCTTTCAATTGGAGGATTAGTATGTTTAAAAATAGTCTCATCAATGGTTCCAAATAAGAAATATAGTGCTGCCATGTAGTCCCAAACTCACATTAGAGGTTAACCAGGGACTCGTTTAAAACTGAAAACTGCTCCAGCCTCTCAATCTTACTCAGGAAGACTAGCAAATCCTTTACACACTTCTGTCTGATAATGCTTACTTAAATAAGATTATTGAAAAAGAGATCTCTGTTACAGTGCAAATAACATTTTGATAGAAATTAATGTCTACAAAGGAGTTAAATAATACAGATGTTCCTTACAATGACAGATACCATTCTTATTCTAAAAAGGTAGAATTATCTAGCCATTGTAAATAATATGGGTCAGTCAAAAATATATATAACAGAGTCCTACAGGGAAACTTGTATAAGTCAATCCCCAAAATATGTATATATTTGACACTCTCCAAGTGAGGATGTTACTTTTTGAAGAACATTAAACACAACACTAGGTCTCTTATTATTCCATGAACTATTGAGGTAGGAATCTCATTTTGTGAATGTCATCTATTTTTCACAGATTTTGTCATAAGTTAAAGGCCAGTACCAAAAGAGACAGTAATCCACAAAACTGAACCATTAGACTATATACCACGACTTTCCTTCTTTAAATGAGCAAGTTTGGGAGTTCTCTGTGCATCAAGAGATTTAACTAAAAATAATAGGCTGCAATATATTTTGTAGACATGTCTGTAAATATAAATCACAAATTTCAGTTATGATTTTATGCATAGAAAAGCTTTGCAACTCTTAAAAAAAGTAAGTAGTGAAATCATTAGTGGTAAAACGAATAGTACTATGGCTGTTGACTTGTGTTCCTATATCTACCACAAAAGCTGCCACCCTGGAAAACTAATGAACAACCAACCATTTCTCACTGCCTCTCGAGCAGCAACGGCATAAAAGGACAACACAACATTTTCCTTAGTGTCATGTTTTTAAGAAACTATAACCAGTTTAATGACAGAGAAATAACCTCAGCATGTGAACTCAGATATTTTCTCTATGAACTCAAGATGAAGAGTGATCATATAAAGCATACATCATGCATATGGATTTTTATGTTACAAAAAAGCTGGAAGGGAAAACTCAGCTTACATGGATAGCCTTTAAAGACAGTTATAAGTTTATTAACCATTTAACATGTTACCTCTTAAAGTAAACATTACCAATAGTTAGTTATTTTAGTTTGTGAAAACACAATAATAAACCACGGCTAAAATTAAAAAAAAAAAGAAAAAAGAAAAAACAACTACATCATGATGTGGAAAATCCATTTGGTTTGCATCATTTAGCATCTGAAATAAAAGACTGCAATGAAACAAGCTATGTAACAGACTACTTCAGGGTCAAGAACGCTTTTTGTTAAACGTCTGCATGTAATGAGTGATACAGACACAGTCTTAGGTCAGACTCCCAAGAAGAGTATTTCCAGAGCGTGTTGACCAAAGAAGTACTTAGCTATAATTTAGGAACTAAAAGCTAGTAAAGAATGACCTTTGCATATTCTAACAGAGAATATCTATCTAGTTCAGATTTTCACCTGGCTTTAAAATATTAAGTTCAGAGGAGTCACAAAAGTTTTATTTTAGACATGTTTATAAAAAAAAATTCATACATTAAACCTGGGTTTTCCTTGGTTTTAATACATTAAATGACATAATCCAATCTAACTCATGCATCACTTTCGGGGACACAGTGCAACAGGAAATACTTTTGCCATTGCAGTGGACATTCCTAAAAAGCAAATGCCTGTGGGTGCTCCTGCTCCTTCAAAATAAAAAGAAAAGAAACAGGCACCATAGTTCTCTAAGAATGGCTGTGTTTCGCACATTGTGGAAAAATAAAAATCGCCTTCAAGAATTTCATTATGCCTTGTAACAGATTTCAACTCCTTCAGTTTGCTTGCTGACCTCTTCGATCTCTTGACTGGAAGCCTGTTTTCATTGCTTCTTTGTTAACTGCTGTTGGTACTTTGTAGGTATACATTAAACTTCTGTAAAGAACATTACAAGCTATTTCATGTAATTTAATTTTGTGCTGAATATTCTTCCAAGGATTTTATAAATAATACAATATTTTAAATGAGTCTTCAATTCACTCGTTGTTATACCATATTGTTGCTTTCTCCAACTTTATCTACAAACTGCAAGAAGGAAAAGAGATCATTAAAAGGAAGCCTACAGCATTATAAAACATTACATAAACATTTTATATGTTGATTAAAAAACCCAGCTTTATAAGAATATTCATGGGAATTTAAGGTATGACTGACAATGATTAATTCAGTACTACTCACCACCATCTTCTGACACGTAAATATGTATAAATTTTTTTTTTTTAAAGTTGTTTTCACATGACATGTTATACATATGACTTTAAGGGTGCAACATGAGAAATGCAACACAATGAATAAAAAAATTGGATAAAATGAAGTTAACACTCATAGCTTAACAAAAAAATAAAAAGCTGGAATGTCAGCCATTCATGCATTAATGAACCCAATAAGATATTTCAACTGACCATTACTGTGGATCTCTTCTGGGCCTATGTAGTCTTCGAACAAACAGATTTAACTCCATTAAGTTCAATAATTAACAACAGCTACTGACTAAAAAATACTTTACATGTGTTTCTGGAATATAGACTGAAAGTGGCAATGACATTAAAAACAGATGTAATGATGCAAACATAAATTTATAATTTTTGAATATAAGTTTTAACACATATTTATGTAAGTGGTTATTTACTTTGGTTACTCCACCCTAAATATAAAGCAATTGGGCTTTCTTCAGCATTCCAGATGGGTGATGCAAACAAATACTGAAACAAAGTAATTAGCGGAGATATTAAAAGTTATGTAACCAAAGTGGTTATAATTCTATCAAAATCTAGCAATCATCTAACCCTTTCATTTGACTAGTCACACTTTTACTTAGGCAGTTATAATAAAGTAATAATAATAGGAAACATAATTTATAGTATTGGGTGTCCATTTATGCAAATATTGAAGAATCCTTAAATTAAGGACAAGAATAATGATTACAATTCTATAACTAGAAGTCTCAGTAAATTCAAAAGCTATTCTAAGTATAAACAACATTGACTACTGTATGAGTTTGGAGATTAATGCAAATGAAATCAGGATATACCCCTAAAAGCCTAGATTCCAACATTTTATATTATCGCAAATAGGTGACTAGCACACTGAAATGGAAAGTTGCTCTGAAAGTACTCATGGATTCATCAGAATTTTAAGGTAAATTTAGGTGGAGAGAAAGTACAACATTCTCTCCCTAAAGGTAAATTCAAATATCTAGGTTGTCTTAGGCTGTATGGTTCTGACTCTGCAATTGACGTGAGGATGGAAATGAAATTAGGCTTATAGTGGTAACTTTAGCTCTTTGAGAATTCAATAAATGCTATGGGCCATCTCTCTGGAAACATCTATAAAATCTGTAAACAATTTGAGGAAGCTGATGGCCCACCCACCCTGGAGAAACAGATTTGACAAGACTGTTCAAAATCATAGATAGAGCTGGGAACAGAACTTTATCATCTGACTCCAAGTACAACAGTGCTTTATTTAATTGTCTTAATACACCCCATTTGGTGAAACAGTCTAAGAAAGAAAATATTCATAAGAAATAATTATGTCATTTTTATAGCATTGCTTCTAAAACTAGAGATCATGTAAAAGTTAATTGAGAAGTGCCTTGAACTCTCAAAGAGAAAGGAAGCATAGCATATTAATCTGAGTTACATTAAAAAATAGGGAACAATATTAAAAATGAATACAGTGAAATAAAACTTCAGGTTTTATAGGTTTAACAATGATTATTTTCTCTGGTATTCATGGTAACCATGATCGATGGGATATAACCATTTATATCATAACAAAAAACATCAATGAATCATGTATCAATCACTTCAATCTCTAGAAGTAAAGAGCATCAAAGAGTATTTTGATGGCTTAAAAATTATATTTCTAAGTACAGGATTACTTACTGATCTAATGCCAGGTAAATTCAAGAGGGATCCAAGGATTGGCACTCTTCTAATGAAGCCAATGACCACAGGAAAGAAGCCCCTAGAAGAGAGAAAAAAAGTTCTTAGAACTTACACATTCTCTATTACCAAAATCAATTGCTAACCAAGTAAAAAGAAAGAGTCCTGTTAAAATTCTGAATGTTTTAGAGACTTTGAACTTCAGTTAACCTTTCTCACTTCTCCCAGGACTTGATTCCTTCCTTAATTAAGTTCCTATAATATTTTGCATATACATATATAATGGCATTACTGCTATCTGGTATCTTTATCTATTTCCCATATTAGAAATGAGAGATTCTCTAATGCAAATTTGGCACTTAATTCATTTTTATGTCTCCTGTGGGTAATATGGTACCTGGTGATAGAAGACAAAGGATATACATTTGTTGACCAATAATTAAACTAAACTTACTTAAAGGCATCTTCTCACATTGCATACTATTGTTTATTTACTTGGTAACTGGCATGTGTAAAATACTATCTGATCAAAATCTCCCATAGTGTATTTGGTACAAAATTTTCCAATATGTATATGCACTAAAGGAATTGTTATCAAAACGCGGTAACTATGTAGTATCAGTTTCTACATATTAAAATGCTGGATCTCTCTATGTATCTATCATTGTTTAGTTGATGAAAATAGCAAACATAAAGACAGTGTCTTAAAAGGCCAATAAAATTTTATTTAATTGAAAATACTTTAAGATAATTTATACCATTATATAGGCCATCATCCACATCTGATAAACATTTTTATAGTTGATTAAATTATCTAAAATTGTAATAAAAGATGCAGTATAGACAAACATCCATTTAAGAAAATTATAGTCGTCTTACTCATATTGATGCAAATATCCGGGTTTTTATAATTATATGACATACTGATTTACTGAAAAACATTAAATGATTGCCTTACCTGAACAAGAGAAAGAATCCATAAATTTCAAAGATCATGCCTATCAAAGGCCAACCAATAAGGACTACAAATACGCCGCCCAGGAAAAATCCCGTAGCTTTCATTTTATGTTTTTGGAAAAAGAATCTGAATGTTCTTTCTAAACCAATTACAAAAGCCAAGCCAGCCACAAATAAAACCTAGAAGAGAAAGAAAATGCAACATAGAAAACGTAGTTAAACACACTGCATTTGAAAAGTAAGGTTAAAGCTAAATATATAAAAAAAAGGAGCACATATGGCTTTCAATATGGGCAACTGACCATAGAAAATGCACACAGAGAGGCAGAACCAAGGAGTGGGCTAAGCATGTGAAAGTTGGAATTGTATTCCAGTCTTCTGAATCCTTATCTATCTTGATTAAATGGAGAAAAAGAGAAACAAGAGAAGAAGTTTCCAATGGGTACTGCACCTGCAGTAGTTTCCCCAGGTTTAGCAAGATGGAGATGGCTAAGCTGAGCAGGTGAGTGACAAGGCAAAAGAGGGAAGAAGCTGCCCATCAATGTCACCTGGAGGTACTCCTGGTTCTGCAAAGTTCCCCATGGGCTACAGGAGCTCCTAGGGACGGGAGAAATACTGACAGAGCCAAGGTGAGAGGAGAGACCATGCAAAGCCAGGAAGAGGATTCTAGTTTTAGTAATTCCAGAACATCTGGTGGCAGCAGAAATAAAAATATAGCCATGAGCCCTCAAATATATGTATATTTTGTATGTTTTCAGAAAGTGGACAAGTAATGGTCATCTATTGAAAGCTTTCTTTTCCCCACATTTTACTTCCAAATACTTGCCTAACTTCATTAACTTCCTTTAGTGAAATTATTTCACATAAACATTTATTAAGCCTAATGGTTAAGTTTCATATTCTGAGATATCAATGCTGTTCATATTGTTTATTACAACATCAATTTTGAACAATTTTATTATCCTCTAGATCCACCAATTTCTAATTAAAAGCCCAATGGTAACACACACTTTGAAGGATATTTAATCATTATTCAGTGACTTTATTGTCCTCTTTAGAAGAGTTATTATTTATTTCTAGAACTCTTGGACAACCTCCACACATGGACATCAGAGTACCCAAAAACAACACACATGCCTTTCTTAGCAAGTCAACTATTGATATAAAAATACATTTTTAAAAGGTTTAAATGGTTTTTAAAAATCTATTAACTTTATGCTATTGAACCAAATGTGAAATCTCAGATGCTTAAAGTCAAAACATATTAATAAATTCGTCATGACATGGGGACTGTCAAGTCATCTCCTTTGAACTCCTATGTAGAGGCGGCCTTGATTTAATCTATTGCAAAACACATATCAAACACTTAACAGAGAAGTTGTGGAATTAGAAAACCTCATGAAGTGTTTACCTTTTATTTAAACAAAAAGCTGACAGGTTTCATTACTGATGGAAACAGAAGATGTAATAGGAATCCTTACATAAGTAAGAGTAAATTATCTCCCCCAAATTTAATAGCAGGCAAGAATCTGTTTGTAGTTAAAATTTTCTTATGAAGTTAAAATATGTATTGAAAAACTCACATTTCCAATAGCCAGTAGTGCTTTGTCAAAAAAGAGAATCATTCCAAAGAACAGGAAAAATACTCCAAATCCTGTTAATCCCATTCCAATCTCTGTAATATAAATTACACGGTTAAGGGTCAAGAAAAATTAAAGCTACATTAAAATCCCTGTAAACTAAATGAGACTTTTTTTTCAGTTTTTCTTTTGGCTGATATAAAGAAATAGATCCCCAACATTGGAGGTTAACTTTGTAATGACACTCACTTAGATCTGTAACAAATTAAATTAACATCAGCAAATTATCTTGAAATTTAAAATATAAATGGAATTTCTAATCCTCATATGAGAACATTTCTTACAAACACACCCAGAATAACAAAAGATAAATCAGGATTCTAAACCTTTGGTCATATATTTTTTTCTCTCCCAAGAACAACACTTCTGGCATCAAACATAAATACATGGGATTACTTTTAATATTTATCTCCTTTCATATTCTATGAGTATTATTTTTATGTACAATACCTGCAGTTCCTTCTTTCCCTCTTAAATCTAATCCCTTCTTTCACCCATTAGAAATGCTATAGTATTCAGCACAATATACTTCATTTATGCACTGCTTCTCACAATGGCAACAGGAAATATTTTGAGAATCAGGTCTGTTTCCTCAAAAGTTACGTTTCAAAAGGTTAGGCATCAACTTTTAACTTCTTGATGGATATTATGGATTTATCTTCTACAAGTTTATCCAAACTATAAATCCATTCACATATTTAGTCTGAATCCTGAAATCACCTCTCCAAAGTTGCAAAGAACACTGTTATTACCTAATATTAATATTCTGGGTTCTTACTCTTTCATTCAAAGCCAAAGAACTGTTAACTCCTAGATGCCAGCCACTGTTCTAGGTACTGAGTACGTACACAGTGGTGGACAAAGTGTAAGCTTTAAAGTCTATGTTCACCCTGCATATAAAACTAATAATTATATTGCCTTTACATTCTCTAGGACTTATCTTTTAGTCAGCAGCGTCTTAACTTTCTAAGGCTACAGTTGTACTTTTCTATTAATGCTTTTACAAAACACAATCCACTGTCACCTCCCTGATCGTTTTATTTTTATTTTTAGGAAATAGCCACCAATCCTTATTTTTACATAAAAGCACTACCTGCATAAAATAATGAATCAGAGCAGAAATCACCATATTTTTGGAAACACAATTTTAAATACACTATTAGTGATTTCTGGTCTTGGCTTGGCTCCAGAAAGCTAAAATCCAGGTCACAGCTACTTAAAAAATCTAAGTCATATAAAATGTGTTGAGTTGAAAATTTACATTATATACCTTTTTCTACATTCTCCACCTTGTTGACTTACAGTAACTGCGGCTTTCCATTCCAGCTACCTTTTTCTCCCAAAGGTGGTCTAAAATAATTCAGGTACCTGTCTATAAATACACTGATATGTGTATTCCACAGACATAAATTCCTATGAAAATTTGAGGCTGTGCTTTCAAGCTCACATGCCTTAAAAGAAATTACCAAAATAACTGTTTAGATGTCAGACATAATTTCCTGGAGGAAAATATGCACATAAAAACAGGTAAAATTCCATGACATAACTATTTAGTAGTTAGGATTTAATCATTGGCTGCTGAGTTATTTGAATATGACTAACTTCTATCTTTTCACAAATTATCATAATGATTACATAAAAATTTTGAGATGTTTGTTCACAAAGGAAATTATACAGCAATACATCTACTATGTATTGAAAACTTACCATGAATTAGCCATTATGAGGTACTTTACATATCTTATATAACTTAATCTTCCCAATACTATTGCACGGTAGGTATCATTACATTATTTTAGAGATGCAGGAAATTGAGGTTTAGAGAATTGACTTAATTTGCCTAAAGTCACACTTCTGCTTAAGCATTTGAACTCAGGTCTATTTGACTCCAAAGTCTGTGTGCTTAACCATTATGCCATACTGCTTCCCACAGGATTTTTTTCAGGTTTAATATTTGGTTAAATGAGACTCAAGGTAACTGGAGTACATTGAACTTCTGGGGGGGGAAGCATCTTTGGGTGACTCAGGCTTAATATGATTAGTTTGTTATCTAACAGCTAAGTAGATGTTTGTAGAGCTATCAGAAATTGACTGCTGTGAAAAAGGACAATGTCTGAATATGATTTTACATTTAATGAATGTTTATACAAGTATGTTGGAATTCCTTTAACAAAATTGTGAGGTAAAAAGTAGCACCAGCCCCATGTTTCACATGGGCCACCAGACTCACAGATTAGTAACTTACCCTTGACCACAGAATCAGTGAATGTGTGTGCGGTGGCCGGGGGAAGGTGGTGGTGGTGGGGAGTCAGGCTAGAATTCAAATCCAGTCTCCAAGACTCCACAGTCTGAACAATAATAACATGGGAACCCAAACATCCCTACTATTGTATCCAGTGTAGTCCAGCAGATCTTTGTAACATCTGTCAAAACCAAGTATGCCCTGATCTCAGAAGTCTCAAACTGGCCTCATTGTACTTTTTTCTCATCTCCAGAATTCCCTTGCTCCCTACACCTAAGCATTCATGAAACTGCAGATTATTAAAGCCCTACGTAGAGCTGCCCTCTCTCTCACTACCAGAATCAGACCCAGTGAAATAAATTTATCTTCCTCCTATGCACTATCAAACCAAATTTCCTCTTGCCCGTGTGTGTGTGTGTGTGTGTGTGTGTGTGTGTGTGTTTAAAGAACAAGCTGATAAAAGCCAGCTAATAAAATGAATTTGTCTAAAATAAAAAGCTTATTGTAGAAATTTTATAAGGAAATAAATGCTAATCCAATGGCCATCACTGTTAGCATTTTAAATCAGCATTGTCTTTCTTACTATACCCTTTAAAAAGTGTCAGAATAAGGAACTCAACTAAATATCCATTTAATTGAACTCAACTGAATATCATGGGAGAGTTTCAGGCTAGGTGACATAATGAAGTAAAAATTTAGAGGCAGCAAGGGAACTGCCCCACTCAATAAATCTTGTGGGTTTTTGGGGCAGGGGGGCGAGTGCTATTATAGAATCCCTTAAAATAGTCTTGAATTATTTACTCTACTCTGATCAGTGCTTGGTCACCCTCTCCCGGAATCAGAATCCCAGAAAAATCTTGGCAAATCACTTGAACGATGGCCAATTCCTGCAGTTAAATACACAGACAAAGATAATTTGAAATCCAAAGGACTTTTGGTTCACTAATCATTTCGTGTTTCACTCCACTGTCCTACTTAAAACATTTGGCAGAAGAGCAGCAAAGAGCACAATTTCATCTTCATCAATTTAGTGAAGTGAAGAAAATGCTTCCCATTCTGTCCATATTCCAACCCAACTCCCTTGTTCTGGTTTTTGGAATGATGTAAATCAGGCACTTGTCCCTATAATGTCTTCAACAGAAGAGAATGTCTATGCACAGGGTACATAATTCATATTCTTGTCTAGATAATAATCATAGCCTCAGATAGATAGGGGGGTAATAATACTTTACAGTTAGGAAAACTATGTAGAGTTTAAGTACTTCCTCTAGCAAATAAATTCTAGCAATTTATGTATACAATTCTGCTAATTTCCTTGGGCAATCTAGTTTTAGTTTTGAGTTTCAATCAGAGGAACAAAGCACTGTGCTTCATAAGGAAAATAGGCTCTGAATGTCCTACATAATTTCTCAAAAAAATGTATAATTCTATAGGATAAATTATCTACTGCTGAAACTTTTTGTTATGGAGGAATTTCATCATTCTAAGATTGATCTCAAATAAAGTTTATGTCAACTGTTTAATATGCTTCTAGGGTACAATAAAAAGAACAAAGGTTTTTAAGCCAGTAGAGCTGTGATCAAGTCTTGTTTCTGTCACTATTCTTATGACCATACCTGGAATTTCTTTTGAGGCTCCTTTAATTTATAAAAGAAATACACTATTCTCTGCCTTACAAGGCTCTTATAAGAATTAAGTGTAATGATTTCTATGAAAGCCCATGAACTGAAAGGTGCCTTTATACAATTGCTGGTTTTTATTACAATAGTTAAAAAAAAAAAAAAGGCTATACTGAGGGTCTCTCTGATCAGAACAGGTTGCAGCCAAAAGAATGAATTGGGCACCCTCCCTACACCAGGGCACGTAGCCCCAAGGTGCAGACCCAGTCCCACCTCAGGAAGTCTTCGAAGAGAGCCTGAGGGAAGTGGCAGTTGTGTGTAGGACCTCAGCGACTCTGTGAAGTTCAAGTCTGCCATGACTTGAATATAAACCTTAATGCTCCACTTTAAAATAGGGCATTATAAATGACGTTCTATTTTCATTTCAATGGATTGTTTAATTCTTAACATCTTGAAAATCCAAGTAAGTTAACCAGAATAAGAAACGAAAGGTGTGGCTTACAAAGCAAACTGAGACAAAAAAATCTATCAAGACCATTTTAAAAAGATAGGTACCATAGGGTTGGGCAGATACGTAAATAAAAAGTATGTGATAAAAAGCGGTAGGAAAGAGGAAATGTTATGCCAACTTTAGAGGTAAGACAGGCCTAGAGAACTCGACGCTAAAATGATAAAGCAAGCCACAAAGCACAATGTACAATATTAACAAAAGAAATCCTTTAATGGACACAAAGTGACTTTTTACTATTGTGGAAGCATTAGCTGGTAGCAAAGTGAAGTCATTTCAAGGGAATTTTGGAAGGTTGCTACCATTGGTGGCAAAAAGCGAATATTAAAAATATTTAAGTGTGAGCATATTTTCAAAAAGAGCCTATAATAGATGACATTTAAAAGGCCGCCTCCCCAAACAACCAGCCAGTAACTTGTATTGGACCCCAAGTCTGTCTTATGAGGCAACATCCTCAAGAGTGGGCAGCGGACACCGCACATCAAACTTTGTCTCTGGGCTGTCCGCAGAAACAAAGCGCCCATCTCACTGGGGGTGAGAGAGCGGCGCGACCCAGGCGCGAGGCAGACCCTCGGCGAAAGCTCCCCTTCTCCAGCTCGGGCGTCCCTGCAGACCCCACTGACCCTCCTTCTCAGCCAAGCCCAGCCCCCGCCCCCTCAAGGCAGCCCTCCAGGTCCCCGCAGCCCTAACTCAGTTTTGCAGGCCGCCGCCCCCAACGCGGAGCTTCATTCATTGACTTGGGCGGAGGGGAGGGCGGGAGAGACCCAGCCCCAGCAAGGGGCGTGCGGGGCTCCAGGCGGGGACCCCGGGGCAGGTGCTTACTCTGGGTGTCCGTTAAGGAGATCATGACTGCGGTGGTCAGGGCAGCGACGACAGCACCTCGAAGAGCCCAGGGTGTGAAGCAAAGTAGGGAATAATCAAACCGGGAAACAGCCCAGGCAAGAGCCGCCACGTCTTCCGGAAACACGCAGCCACCCCCACCCCATCTTCAAGGTCGCTTCCCATTGGCTAAACCTGCTCCCGACATTCTCCAATAATCTGTAGTCTTGTTCAGTGACGCGAGGGTGGCCACACCCCTTAACCAATTGGAGAAGGGTGTTGCTTGCAATTGGTTGAACGGACCGACCCGGAAGGGTGGATGCTCCTGGAGAGAAAGGAAAGGCTGGTGGCGGGAAGGTTTTATCCGAGAGCGGCTGAAAGCCGTGAGTAGTGGTTCTGAGTTCGGGGCTCTTTGGGGTCGGAGACTGGGGAAACCAGGGAGGCCGGGGTGGGGGTTCTTTAACCCCTTGGGGTAACAGGGGTAACTCCTGTCACCGCTTTGAAAGGGCTCATCTTTCCTTTTTCTGCCTGACGGCGAGGCCGATGTATCGCGGATCACTTCCTTCCACCAGTACATTGGCAGCGGGGAAACGGGGCGCTAATTGTCGCCCAGCTCTAGTGGAACTCGGGCCTTTAGGGGCTTGTTCATTTGCCGACCGGTTTCTTTTTATCGCCAGCTTTTTCCGTGCAGGATGCTTGATTACTAAAGTCTGTTTATTGGCAGCCACCGTTTTTTGGAAACCACTGGGGACGCATACGCGTAAGGGAGGGTATTTTTAAATTGCTGTTGCCTCTACACGCAGGGTGTGGGGAGAGCGGGGGATTGTGTCTGATTTAACCTGTGTCATTTCCTCCCCCAACGATGACTGGGTGTGACACTGTAAAATATTTCCAGTGGGTGCTGTCAAAAATTCAGAAACAGCAGAAGAAAAAAACCATGCATCACGGAAGTAGTAATTTGTGAAAGTTTCTTGTTCACACATTAAAAAGACTGTTCGCGAACCGGGAGCGTTAAGGCCAAAACGAATTGTATGTTGTTAAAGCAGCTTGTATAGTGCGAAGGCAGTGGCTGGTTATCTGAACAGTGATTGGTTATAATATTAACAGTTTCATAAATATAGTGAATTGGTTAGTGGTTATCTCATTGCAACCTTGGGAGATGGTTTAAGTTTCGCTTATGATTTCCAGAGGCATAAATGAGAAACTAGCCAGGTTAAGATGGTTTTACAAAATAAGCTACATTACGCTTTGCTTGCATCACTGAGTTGGTTTTGTCTGCTCAGGGAGTTTTCAAAGCTAGCCTCCGTTTGGTTTTGATTTTAACAGTGCCTAGCTGTACTTCAGACTGACGGGTCAGCTATAGCTCAATTTCTGGACTTATACTGAGATTGAGCTATCTTAATATTAAGTCGCATCATTTGGGAAAGGAGTTTATGAGCGGTTTTTTAACAGTATAATCAAAGGAGTCATTTAAAATAGTGGTGAAAAGTGGTTGTAGATTATATTCTTTCACAAAGGCAGAGATAACCTCTGCTTTCAATCTCAGCAAACCTGAGCCTGCACTATCTGCAACGCACTTTGCTAGGCTACATGAATGCAGAGGTGAAGAGAGAACACCTACCCTGCGGGAGAACCATACAGTTTAGAGGAGAATTATGTTTCCACGAAGTGGTGAAGAGATGTTTTATGAAGATAAAGAATTAGAAGTCCTTGATTTACTTCTCCACTTAAATATCTTTTAGTGGAATGGCTATTCCAAGCTTCTTAGCAAGGCAAAGAAGACCCTGCCTATTTTTTCCAGCCTAGTGGCGGCTTCAGAATTCTACATTAGGAAGGGCATAAGGTTAGTAGTCTGGGTAAGGGTAGGGTGAAACTGAAGCTTCCTTTGGGGGATGTTCTCAGTTAGTTTTAGAAAATGTTGGCTGTCCATACCACAGTTGGAGGTGTTCATGGCAATCTAAAGTTCCTACCCTCAAGCCTTATCTCCTCCTTGCTCCTATGTACTCAGGTTTTTGTCATTCATAGGTATTAAGAGTCCCTTCATACAAACCATATTTTTTTCCCCACTTCTGACCTTTTCAGTTTCATGCCTTCTGAACTTTACCACCCCTCCCCTATAGAGTACCAATTCTTTTTTTAAGATTGAGCCTAAATTGTAGCACTTTAAAGCAGGTATTCAATAAAACATTAAATGATAAATTTGAATATTTACATTGATGGATTTTGCTTAATCTGGGACATTTGAATCTATACAACTTATTTATAAAATAAGTTCTATCCCAATTTTACAAGTAGGGGAAGGGGCTGAGAGGAACAGGGTGTGTAATTTTGTAAAAAAATCACACAGTAATCTCATGCTATAACTGTTTTTAACCTCCAATCTTTGCTCTTTTTTTGTTATATCACTTTGTATCTGGTAGAAGTTTGTTAAGTGTTATTGACATTGTACTCATTATATGTTTATGTGACTTGGACACATCTCTGAAATCTAGAGACGTTTCCATAAAAATTAGTATGGTAATAACCATATAGTCCTTATTTAAAGGATCACTGCAATATATAATTTACTTTATAACATTTTTCATGCTTAGTCGTGACATATTATCATTGATTGAGCATAATCAGTAGTACTGTTTTAAAAAGATTATTGCTATGATTTTTCTTTCATTTTTAGAAAGAAATTTGGATCTCCAATTCAATTTTAGAATGGCATCTATTTCAGGTTAGTGCAAAGATTATATTTTCTTATTCATTCTGTTCTATTTCTAATTGCCCATTCTTTGAAAAAAATATATTTGCATTTCTCTGTACATTCCCCTTTTCTGTGAAACTTGAACTGCTCTAAATAAAAGTCTTAATACAAATAAAAATAAATTAAAAAATACTTGTTTAAAAATTCTGTTTATAGAAATGCTGTTTTTTCAGATTTTATTAAAATTATGGTAAATATACATTACAAAATTTATCATTTTAATGATTTTTAAGTGTACAATTCAGTGGCATTAACTGCCTTCACGTTGTGCATCCATCGCTAATATCCATCTGCAGAACTTTTTCATCTTCCCAAACTGAAACTCTGTACCCATTAAAATATAAACTCCCAGTTACCCACTTCCCTGCAACCCCTGGTAACACTATTCAGCTTTCTGTGAATTTGACTATTCTAGGTACTTCATTTAAGTGAAATCACACAATATTTGTTCTTTTGTGTTTAGATTATTTCACTTACCATAATGTCTTTGAGGTTTATCTATGTTGTAACATGTATCTTTTTAAGGCTGAATAATATTCCATCGTATGTCTATACCACCTTTTGTTTATCTATTTGTCAGTGGACATTTGAGTTTTTGCAACTTTTGGCTATTGGAAATAACTGCTCTGAACATCGGTGTACAAATATCTGTTTGAGTCACTGCTTTCAATTCTTTGGGGTATATACCTAGAAATGTAATTCTGGATTACATTCTGGGTTACAGGGTATTTCTATGTTTAATTTTTTGAGTAACCGTCATACTGTTTTCCATCGTGGCTGCACCATTTTGTATTCCCACCAGCAATGCATATGGATTCCAAGGATATGTTTTTTGATAGAATTTAGAAACTTAAAAATTATAAAGTAGAAAATATAATTCGCTTCTAATCTTACTGCTCAGATTAATACTGTAACATTTTTAAACAAAAATTTTAACATTTTGTACATATTGTTTTATAATGTGATTTTAAAAAACAATGTAAATATAGAATATAAACATTGTTAAATAAATTCTATGTTGTAAGTATTCTAATACCTGCGCTGTATTTTGTTTTGAAGTGACATTAAGTAAATAATGTCGTTTAATCTTTCAGTGTTGAACTTTTATGCTGTTTCCATTTTTAAAACATAAAAAATGCTGCCTTGAACATCTTTGAATCAAAAGCTTTGTGTGCTTCTTTGATTATTTCCTTAAGATATGTTCCTATAAGTGGAGTTATTTGAAGTGTTTTTAAGGTATAAAAGAAAAACATCCATTCTACTTTTCCCAGGAGGGATACTCTTGGTATTTTTAATGTATTTCCATCCATTCTTTGTTTCTATAAACTTGTTTCTACAATATAAACAGATTGTACTGTGCTTCTTAGTAAGATCTTCCTATCTATTCAGTTAAGAGGAAGGTGGCAGGGGTGAAGAACCTGCAGTATTGGTTATTTTTCAGCCTTTTATAAGATTTAATGAATGTGGCCTTTGCTACATACTAGCTTTAAAAGTAGGGTGGCAGGATTAGGTTATTTTCAAACTTTAAGTAAGTGTTATTCTTAAATATGGTACCCTCTTGCCTTCCTCCCCCATAACTTCACAATTTATTTAAATATAAACATGAAAAAATCACGTAGGTTTTGGTTTTGTCTCATGACTCATTTTCACAGTTTGAGGGCTAATAAAAATGGTAACAATTTCAGTTATATTAAATGCTAACTCAAGCAGTCTTTACTTAGAATTAAGGTTTAAGAGAAGATACTGAACCTCAATTTAGTTCAGTATGGTCCTTTCTGGATTGTATATGTTATTCTACTTAACAAGACGTCATGTTTTATCAGTGGGATGTGACTTAAAAATACAATATAATGGATACATTTTATTTAAGAAGAGATGCTTACTTTGACTAATTGCTTTCATAATATTGCACCCTTTCAAATAAATCTACCTCTTCTATTCTACCCACTTATTGAACATATTTGAAATGCTTCTTTGAAATTGCCTTCAGACAGTTTGTTGTTTTGGGTCTGATGGCTTCCATGGTGACAAATCACTTTCCTTTCAGTGTTAACTTCAGTTTGGGATGTTGCTAGAAAATGTGCTGTTTCTGAAGAATGGTACCTCCCATGCATCAGTCATAAGCTTAGGAACACGAGTGCCATCTCCACTCAATTCATTGTGCTCTTGAGATATATTGGATTGTCGGAAAAGTCATGACACATTTTTGCAACGAAAAACAGAAAAATACTTCATGACTTTTCCTACAGCCCAATGGATGCTGTAATAAGCCCTGTCCACTTGTAGTTCCTCTTCATTATGGATTGCTGAAATCATTCACTTGACTTTTCAATCTCCTCTCCTGTAGTAAAAGTCTTACATGGCACATGCCAGCATTAGAGATTGTATAATTTTAAACAAAAACATTGAAATACTCTGATTTATTACAATTAGCTGTACTTTCTTATATTCTTAGTCTGATTTTCGTGTGTGGTACAATGATACTGACTTTGTAGCATGGGTTGACTTGAACATCTGTATCAGGTAGGGTTTGATCAGAGAAGCAGAGGCACTGTGAGTGACCTAAGGGATTTACTATAAGGATTAACCCTTACGTGATTATGGAAAGTGGTTAAACTCTGTGTATGTTGCCTGTGTGTCTGGTACTGGGCCTGAAGTGGGCAGAATCAGCAGTCAGGAAGAGAAGGTGGATATGGGGTGGGGAATACAAAAACAAACTGCTACCCATTTAGACCAGGGCTCGGCAAACTTTTGAGACGGAAGAGCCGCCAGGGGTCAGCAAACTGTGCTCGCGAGCCACATGCGGCTCTTTGGGTATGTACATGTGGCTCTGAAAATGAAAATAAAACTGTCATAGTTTCACTTATAAAATTTTTAAAGAATATTACTCACATAATGGTGATTATGTAAAAATACATTTATGGCTCTTGAATAATTTTTAAATTGTTGTGAGGGACAGGATTTGCTCCTCCGTCTCAAAAGTTTGCAGGCCCCTGGTTTAGATGAACTTCTGTTTCTTACCCTGTGTTAGTCTCATTGCCTCAAAGCCACTAATTTGGGTGATGCAGGAGGCATGTCAAAGAGCTGCTGAACTTCCACATGGAGTTGCATACAGCTGGCTGGAGGAGGAGAACCAACAGGGTCTGGAGTTGCTGCAGGGCCTGCTGTTTCCCCAAGGATACCTAGCAGCAGCTGTTGTGGGCCCAGCTGCTGCCTAGGCCAATGAGGTCACCACCCCTGACCTTACACTGACCTTAACTACAGAAAATAGGGCCACTGCTTCACTTCCGTCTTCCAAATCTCTGGCAGAGTTCTCTTTGCCTTACCTAGAACTATGCAGGGAAGGAATTCTGGGAAATGGAATTCCAGCTTAGCTAAGTTATCACAGTACAAAGCCACTGGTCTCTACCCCTTGCCTGTATGGCACCTATAGCCCATAGACTTCTCTTTTAATTTAATCATATTTAACTTCCAAATAAAGGAAATAGCAAAATCTTCCTTCTGGCTAACATGATACAACTATCTCTTGTACAACCAAATACACACTGATCCTTTCCCCGAAAGAGGGCAGAAATTCTCCTTATTCATCTTTCAAGGATGCTTCGTCCTCTTTTCGCTAAATCACATCCTCCTTGATAATCCTCTAACCTAAATCCTGAGATATGAAATTAGCTACTATTAACACATTTTATTTTAGATGTTAGAGGAATAGGAGAAGGGACCAAAAAAAAAAAAAAAACCAGCAAGGACAAAAAACTCAACCTTGGTTAATATACAAATGCCAAAATAAAGAAGACATGCTTATAGGTATTACAGTTCTAGTTTCTCACATGAACATGTGGTCATATCTGTACATTTAAAACTCTTCTTCAGCCGTCCATTCCGTATCCCCTTGCTCTCAGCAAGCACCTTACCTGATCACGGGTCCTTGCCTGGGCGGGACTTGCCTTAGCAGTGTGTTGTATTTGGTTTTTGTAGTTTTCCATTAACTTTAATCACAGGACATTGGAATACTAAAAGACACCCTAGAGGATCCCCTACATTCCAGACATTCTCCTCAGTACCTCCTTTAATAGTCAGGATCACTCACCCGGCCCCACAGTAATCCATTTCTTTGCCTGTTGATTTACTGGCATGAGGCACCCAAAGTGGCCAAGAGTAAGTCAACTTCCAGTTAAATGGAGCCATTGTTTATTCCTCTAGTAGAAGCATTTATTCTTTGCTAACTACCATGTTTCCCCCAAAATAAGACTGGGTCTTATATTAATTTTTGCTCCAACAATCTGCATTTATTCATTTATTCATGTACAAAAATCTACATTTATTAAAACAGTCGTGTCTGGCCGACATTCTTAACTGGGGCTTATGTTTAGGGCTTATAGCACAAGCACCCTGAAAAATCATGCTAGGGCTTATTTTCCAGTTAGGTCTTATTTTCAGGGAACACGGTAAGACCTCTAGACCAGCAGAGTCCAAAGTTTCAGGGATGGGAAGCAAACATTTCACTAGTGGATCACTAGGGGTAATAGTAAGAGGAGCCACTCCCATTTCTGCCCCTGATCCTTAGACCCATGAATGCTGCCTATGGAAGATACAGCACTATTCACTGTTTTGGTGGGCAGAGGCAGTTAGTTATACTGGCTTCCACGTGACTTTCCTATCATAATAGTCCTTACTTAGGGGCCAGGGGACCAATGTGTGGATTCAGCGAGTTGCTAAATATATTTGTTCTCATTATGCATTATGGAGCTGGGGAAATAACCACAGAGTGGGTTAGAGGATCTCCTGGGCCCACTGTGAGATGGACCTGAACCAAAACTGCATTGAACACCTGACTTGTATAAGTCTAGTCCATATTCTGACTGGTGGATCACCCTGGCATTTTAGTTCTCCAGGAATTAATTATCAGTTCAGAGTTAATGCCTGGTCATTTCTAAGAAGTTATTTTCCTTTCCCTAATACACAATTACCCTGATAAGTTTACATGGAGGAGACTAGTGGAAAGATTTATTGTTAATACATACGCTTTTTGATGTCTAAGTAGAATTCTTCCTCAACCTTCACTTAATTCAAGGGCCTATAAATTGGCTTATTTCTGGGAATTGGTTGAAGGACTGTAACTACATTGTGATGACTCAAAATATAACACAGAATCAGGGCTTTGATTCTGTACAAATCAAGTCTTCTATTTCCATTCAGGGACATCGTGATCAACTAGCCAATGCCAAAGATCTCTGGGTCTGACTATTCTGAGTCCTGCATTTGCTCTGTGGCCTGTTATGGCAACCACATTGATTTCTTCTTTGGTCATGAATTGCCACCATTTAGCCCCCATATCTTAGAATCCATTACGTATTTTCATTGATACAGGTAGTCTAGTTCAAAGGCAGTAGCTCCTACTGTTATTCCTGGCTTACGGACAGCAGCTACTCCAGATCTCAGTGATGCTGGGGCTCCCCTCATGAATGCATTTCTCAGTCTTGGTGAAGGGAGTGTCCTCTGCATCTCCTGGGGGACAGCAAGAGAGTGGATGATCAATCACCTGATGGTCCACTCTAGCACCCCCATCTCCCCAGGCCCCTGGATCCCCTCCTTTAGAGTATACTCAGGAAGTTCTAGCCCTTCAGCTTCATTGGCATGTACACTTGTGTCATTCCATGCAGCGTTCTGATATTCATCTTTGGGGCCCGATTTCTGGCAATCAACTAAATAGATTGTTAGAGTCAGTCCTGGTACTGTTTTAGCACACTAAATTCAGACGTTTTTATTGAGTCCATACCAATAAATTCAGCTTCATTCACTAAATTCCATTCACTCTGCTGTAGTACCCTTAGGATCTATTTCCACATACCGTATTTTGCCATGCATAATGCACTGCCTTATATAAACGCACCCATGTTTTTAGCTCAAACTTTCAGGGGAAAACTTTTGTTTTAATTTTTTAATTCAAATTTTTATTTGTTTACATTTAGGTACTTGGTTTTTTGTATTATAAAGGAATCTTAACATTTATTTTTTAACATATTATGGTGCAAGAAATTTTATGTACCGGTAACAAATTTACAATATTGACGCATCATAGAAGGCCAAGAACTCTTCACCATTGCAAGTTGGTCATAAGTTCAACAAAACCGATTATTGTATTCCACGGTATTATTTTGCATATGGATATCGTTATTGATTTCTAGAGTCACACTTTTAACTCATAAGCATAAATAAAAAAATTAAAAACATAAAGATAAGGAATTAGTACTACCCATGTATAACGCACATCCTTATTTTTCCCTCACAAATCTGGGCAAAAAAGTGCTCATTATACACAGTAAACTGGTACATCAGGATCAGTCATTACCGGGATTTCAGGCAGGAGGAGGCTGTTTCAGAAAGGGGCGGAAGGGCAGAAGACACTTGGCAGAATTTAGTGGCTCAAGGTCCCTGCTTCATTGGAATCTGCCCAGGTGTTCCCATCCCAATTTCAGAGTCACTCCTTCCTAATGAATGTAATATCTTGAATAGGAGTCCCTGCAATGTTGGGAATTCAATTTGCATTGTATTTCAGCCACCTGCAGGATTTAGACTTAGGGTTTGTATTCAGTAATCTTGGCCTTGTAGCTACAGGAGGTAAAATTTCGTTTAGGACAATCATAGAAACTTTGAGGTTCTTTTATACAAATCCTGTGTTGCTCTCCCCAAGTTCTCCAGCATACTTTGAAGCACCCAATCAGCCTCATTATTTTCACCAAAATGTTAGGTGACAGGAAATACTTGGTCACCCAGAGACTGACCTTCTCTAGATACTTAATTACTAGTGTCTATAGATTATAATTTAATTAACTGTCTACTGCATGGAATAACACTGTCCCTTTTATCACTGCAGACAAGGATCATTAATGTCTTTAAAACGTATCAGATCAGAGACCCAATTCCAGGTGACCCAGAAGCAATTCAGAGAACCCACCCTTAAGTTTTCGGTTCATCTGGAACAGCACTGGGTGTTGGTTAGGGTTCAATTAGATAAAAGGGATTTATTATAGGGACTAGTCCCTATATAATCACTGGAGCTAGTTAAGCAGTCTATTGCTGGTCCTGAAGTCAGTAATGCCAGCATTAGGGATGGAAAGATAGATGTGAAGTGTGGGCGGGTAAGGATGAGCTGAAACCCACAAAGACAAAGGGGAACCCATCTGTTTCTCACTGGGACTCATGCTGGTGTGTCACTGCCTACAAGGCCCTGATTTCCAGGATGCTGGTACCCTGCAGAAGAGCTGGTATACTTGCCACAAAAAGTTATACATGAATTTGGCCAAGGATTCAGAGAAGCTGTAGGCCAAGCAGTTGTCCCAAGGAGATTGAGCAGGAGCTGGAGGGACTGGCTTCTGCCCCATGCCAGCAAGGTGAGCCAGCAGATCCCTGACAACATGAGTGAGCTGCAAGCATCTGACCTTACGCCAACCATCTGAATGTAAATCTTCCTGCTGTTTCATTTCCACCTTCCAAATCTCTTGCAGAATTCACTTGTCGCCAACCCTAACCCAGACTCTTGCAAGGGAAGGGAATTCTGGCAGTTGGCATAATACAAAGTCACTATAGCATCCTATTTTAAATCGTAATCATAAGATTTTATCTCATGAAAAGACATTAGAAGTGGACACTGAAGAATGCAGGCAGATGTTTTGGAAAACACCAAGGACGTCTTTAAGATTTTCTAGCTCCCATCGGTGTGGTGTCAGTAGGACTCTCACATTGACCTTGTCTGATGAGAATCATACATTCAGTCATCTTTATAAAGTAGCTATGATGGAGTTGTAATGTCAATTCCTATAGTGCACTTGATTTCTCATTTTCATCATGCTTATAATCACTGAACCCTTATCATGCCACCATGTGAGCCCAAATGTAAATGTTTCTGTGAAATAACAAAGAGGTTAGGGGATTACTTTCAAATAGCTTCCTTTTGCTACAAAATCTGGTCACTTAAATGATTTAGGAGATTGTTGTACCACTGCCTTACAACATAATTACAATGATTATCATTTATTTAAATGCTTAACTGTGTACCATGTACTGCATCCAGAACCTTCAGTGTGTTATCTCATTTAATTCTTCACAACAGTTCTATGAAAACTAGGTATTATCCCCATTTTACAGATGGGGAAATTGAGGCTCAGTTACGTACCATGCCTGAGGTCACTCAGTAAGTAAGAGGAAGACCTGAGATTTAAGTCAGGTTTGTGTGACTCCAAAACAAATGTTCTTAACCACCCTGATAAACTCGTGTAAGTTTGTAATTTATATCGTGATGGATATCTGAAAATCAACAGGGAAACCTAAAATTAATCATTGTATCTTTTTTCTCCCCTCATAGCTCTAACTGAGGAATTGGATTCTGTAACCAATGAGCTACATGCAGTAGACATTCAAATTCAAGAACTTCTGGAAAGGCAACAAGAGCTCACTCAGAAAAAAAACATCCTAACAAAGAGAATAAAGCAGTGTTTAGAGAATTCTGATGCCGAGGAAGGCAATGAGTGTGATTCTTCACCTGCCTCTTGGAATAAAGAAGGTTTACTCTTTTTATTTTTCTTCTTTGCTAGTTTTCTTCTTGTTTTTTTAAATTGGAGTCAAATCATTGTGCCTGGATCAGGCTTTCCAGTAGGCGTAGAGGTGAAACTGGCCATTCCTTAAGTGGCATGGGAAACTTGTAGGCAGACCATTCTTGCCCATGTTCTGTAGCCCTTTTGAATTAAGCTTTTATTGTTCAGGCTTTTCTTTTTTGTATTATGGTTCTAGCTATATTAATCAATGCTTGGAAAATTAAGATATTTATTTTAACTAAATTTTAGCTAGGCAAAGTTAAACAATTAAGAATATAGTATTTATATATTCTTAGATTTATATATTATTTATATATTATTTATATATTCTATATATATATAGAACTTGTCAGAGTCTAGTTCATTTCCTTCCTCTAGTGAGCAAACCTTTTGTGATTTCAAGATCTTGCCAAGTATTATGTGTATCATTAATTATAATGGAATACTATAACTCTAGAAGGAATTGCAGTGTTTTTGTGGTTCTTGTTTTTGTTTTCAATGATTCATTTCTACAAAAAATTTACACCAAAAATTCCAGCTAATTGTTAACTTTGTTCATGATATTTGAGTTTTTTATGATACTTTGAGTTTTTATTGGTCGACATTCAGACTTTTTTTCAAATATCTGATCAAGCACCTTCTTTGTAGGTTAATTCTCAACTGGCAAATGCTTTCATTTTTTCTGATGTACTATTTCTAATGATATATTATTAAATTTGTTTTTGCTTAGCTTCATGAGTTAAATTAACCTCAGAATTATTATGAGTTAAATTGTCCATTGTATTAAAAGCCTTCTATATATTCATCTGATTCTTGTCTATTATCAAAGCAGCCATTCACATTTGTGTCTCATTTATAATCCTAAATAGTTCTAATATAGTTATCTTAATTTTCTACTTCTAGATTTTCCATGGTCTGCTAAAGTTAAAGATGTTCTGCAAAATGTCTTCAAACTGGAGATGTTCAGACTACTTCAGCTTGAAACTATTAACGTAACGATGTCCGGAAAGGACATCTTTCTTGTTATGCCTACAGGAGGCGGGAAGAGCTTATGCTACCAGTTACCAGCGTTGTGTTCAGATGGTATGTATTCATAAAGATACATTTTAAGTTCAGGAAATGTCATTTCTCTTAATGTATTTTAAGTCTTCCGAAAAATAATTTCTAACCATACTTATGTAAAAATCAACTGGATTTCAAAAGCTTATCTTTGCATTTAAATGCATAAGACATTTAAAGGGTTCACTTAAAAAGGGATGTTAAAGACCGAGAGTAGTTAATTTTATCTGGTTCCTGATACATAGTTAAAAACATGTTGTAGGAGAAAAAGTACTGGAAAAAGAATCAGTAGACCTGGATTCTAGTCCCAGATCTTTATCGAGCATCTGCATGTAGGCACTGCAGAAACAGTAGTGAGCAGACCAGGCATGGTGGGAGTTTTCAGAGCTCCCAGTGTAAAGCAGCCCTTTCTCAAACTTAAAGTGCCTAAGAATCGCCTGGTGATCTGATTAACATGCAGATTCTGATTTATGTGAGACTCAAGTTCTTGCATTTCTAACAGGCTGTCAGAGCTGATGCTGCCCTTGGGGGAGAGAGCAGGGGTCAGCAAACACGAAAGAGTAAGTCAGTAAACATTATAGGCTTGCGGTCAGTGTGGTCGCTGTGGCAACTACTGAACTCCGCCATTGTACAGTGAAGCAGCTATAGACAATATGTAAACAAATGGATGTTGCTGTGTTCCATGAAAACTATTTATAAAACCAAATAGCCAGCCCTTAGTTTGTTGACCTCTGGTCCCGAGAATACAGAATTACAAGCAATTGCAATAGAGTTTTGTGATAAAGGTTTTAATAGAGAATTAAGTCAGCACAAAGATCTCTTCTAGGGGCTGTCAGGGAAGGCTGTCCTGAAGAAGTGGCATTTGAGCTAAAAGCTAAAGGATAATTCGGCAAAAAAAAGACAGTGAAGGAAGGAAGAGTGTTCATGTGTTCATGCAGGGAGCAGTATTTGTGAGAGCCCCAAAGTCAGAGAGAACATGCATGGTATGGTGTATTCAGTCACCAGAAGAATTTCAGTGTGCCAGGCAGTGAGGGGCAGACATGCAGAAAGAGTCTTGAAAGATATTTTAAAAACTTATCTTTAGATTAATGGGAAGCCATCGAAGAGTTTTATACAGGTAAGAGACTTGTCAGATTTGTGGTTTAGAAGGATAATTTCAGCAGATGGAGGAATTCCAGAAGTACTTAGAAGATAGATTCCGTAGGACTTGGCATTCATTGGCCAGGGGCATAGGAAAAGGGCTAGTCCAGAATGATGCTTTGATTTTTGGCTGAGACAAATGGTGAAGTTGTTTACTGAAATAAGGCACATTGGAGAAAGAACTTCTTTGGGAATAGTGAGAGAGGGAAGAAGATGAATTAATGTGGGACATGTTGAATTTATAATGCCTACAAGACATCCAGGTGGAGTTATCCTGTGAGTAGGAAGATGTTTGGGTGTGAAGCTTGGTTCTGAGAGATATGAGTTAGCTGAGTTGGAGGCTGTTGGTGTGAAGATGGCCGTTGAAGCCATGGGATTGATTTATAATATATCATCCAGAGCAGCATGAGAAGAGAAGTCTAGAACAGAAATCAGAAAACCAAGAGTTTAGGGGTAAACAGAGAAGGTTGGGAAGGAATTGCAAAGTGTAGAAAGATAATCAGAGAGTATGGTGTTATTAGAAGCTGAGGGAAGGGAGTATTTCAAGGAGGGATGACTGTTGGCAAAAGGTCAAATAAAAGAAGGACTTTCAAGTGTCATTGGGTTTAGTGACAAGGGACTCATCTATGACCTTGGCTAGAACAATGTCAGTGAAATAGTTGGCTGGAAACCAAATAGCAATGGTTTGGAAGTGAGTAGGAGTTGAAGAAGTGGAACTAGTGAATGGGACACTCTTTGGAAAGAATTGCTGCTGTGTTTCTCCGAAAATAAGACCTAACTGGAAAATAAGCCCTAGCATGATTTTCAGGGTGCTTGTAATATAAGCCCTACCCCAAAATAAACCCCAGTTAAGATCGTCAGCCAGACATGACTCTATTTGAATAAATGTAGATTTCTGCATATGAATAAATGAATAAAATGCGTCTTTTGGAGCAAAAATTAATATAAGACCCGGTCTTATTTTCAGGAAAACACGGTATGACGGGAAAAAGAGAGAGGTCCCTAATTTAGGTGTCCTGGGCTTTTTCAAAGATGAGGAGACTTGACTCTGTTTAAATATAATGAGAAGGTGCCAATAGTGAGGGAGAAGGTGAAAATATAGGAAAGAGAATAATTGAGAGGGCAAAATCCATGATAAAGTCTTAATCTGAGTATGGTTTTTAAACATGTCTGCCCTCTGCTTGAGGCTATTTTAAGGAACAAACTACAGTATAGAAACATAAGGTCTTAGGTTTTAAATAATGTAGAATAGCTTTTATAACAGTCAACAGTTTCAGTTCTAAGGGAAAGAGGATATATTACCAGAGCTTCATTTAGTCAATAGACTTCACTGATTTCTACTCAGAATAAATTAATCTGGTATAGTAAGTGGACGAATACTCATGTAACTATTATTTTTAATAATACAGGTTGCTATTTTTTTTTTGGAAAGTTTGGAATAAATTTTTTTTGATATAACTGGATAGTATTTGACTTGATTTATATTATTTTACTGAGATTACCAATACTGATTGTTAATAATGATGATGAATTCAAAATTCAAAATGATAATATCTGTATTTTTATAGGCCTGAATAAGGGAAGAGATTTCTGATTAATCTTATATTTACTTATTTGGCTTATGATAATTTATTTGTATCTTCCTCCTTCACCAATGAGGGTAGGAAATAGATAGTTGCAATGAAGTTGCTAAATTGCACTGAAAATTAGTGTGAATTGATGGGTGATGCCCACAAATTATGGTAAAGAAGGTGAATGGTTGAATCTTGTTCTGGTGGAAGTATAATGTTTAAAGTGGATTTTTTTTCCTTTTTAGGTTTTACACTTGTGATTTGTCCATTGATCTCTCTTATGGAAGACCAATTAATGGTTTTAAAACAATTAGAAATTTCAGCTACCATGTTAAATGCTTCTAGTTCTAAGGTATGCATCTGTGGCTTATGTTATTTTATTTTATTTTAATTTTCACTCTTCACTAAAGTAGGAGCCTTAGCCATAATTGAGTTGCTAATAAAATTATAAACTAATAAGTATTTATGTCAGGAATTGTAAACTGCTTGGGGACCAGTTCCAGCCCACTGCCTATTTTGTGTGCTTTGTGAGTTAGATTGGTTTTTGTATTTTTAAATAGTTAAAAAAAAAAAATCAGAAGAAAAATAACATTTTTTGAAGTGTAAAAATTATATAAGATTTACATTTCAGTGTCCACAACTAAAGTCTTATTGGAACAGAGCCACACTCGTTCATTTATGTGTAGTCTCTGACTTTTCACAAATAGTTGTGATAGTCAAGACCATATGGCCCACGTACATAACCTAATATTTACCATCTGGCACTTAACAGCAAATGTTTGCTGACTTGTTTTATATTATCTATTATAAAATAGCAGGCAAGATTTTCTAATTGTGCAATATAATTCAATAAAAAAAAATTATTAACAAGATACCCTACCCTGGTGGAATTTCTTCTGTTTGGGAATGGACTCTCTGACCTTCATCTGCAGAATAGAGAGAGCTATTTTTTGTTTGTTTTTAAAATTATTTTATTGAAATTTTCAAAAGTATAAAAATGTAGAGAATATTATAAAAACTGCTATGTACATATTAACCACCTCTAACAGTTATCAACATATGGCCAATCTTAATCTGTACACCCCCAGTTTTCCCCACCTCCTCCCACTTGGTGTATTTATTTGGAGCAAATCCCAGACATCCTGACATTCCAGTTGTAACTTCTTCAGTATGCATCTCTTTTTAAAAAGATAACTATAATGCCATCATCACACCTAAAATGTTTAATGTCTATTCTTTAAAGTCATCAAATAAAAATATTCAGATTTCTCTGTCTCATCAAATCCTATGTTTTTGTTTTTTTTTTTTAAATATAACCCTGATAAGATTCATGCATTTTGTTGTATTTGGTTCATATATCCATAGATTTCCCCTTATTTCTTTTTTGTTTCTTGTGCAAATTACTGTATTTGTTGAAGAAACCAGGTTTTTTGTTTTGTAGTTACCTACGTTCTGGGTTTTCCTGATTGTATCCTTGTAATGTAGTTTAACTTGTTTCTTTTAGTTAGATCTAAAAGCTTGATTGGATTTAGTTTTTTTGGTTTTGTTTTGTTTTTTTCCTGGGCGTGTATGTCCCGTGGCATCACTAGGGAGTTACATGATACCTGGTTATTTTTTGTGATGTTAACCTTGATCAGTAGACTCAGGTAATATCTGTCTGCTCTGTAATTATCAATTTCTCTGTCAGCTTTTCCTCTAATGGTTTTAGCAGCCACTGATGATTATTGCTTATCTTAGAGCTATTACTTAATTAGGGGGTTATAAAATGGTAATATCTGATTCTATCACTCCTTCAAGTATTAGCTAGACTTTTTCTATAAAGAAGAACTTTTTCTTTATTAACTCTCTTTACAGATTGAAAATTCCTCCCCTTTCTTTACCAATTTTCAGAAAGTTTCCAGGATTCTCCAGAAGTGGTTAATAAGATCTTTTTTTTTCTCTTCAAGTATCATTATAAACATGAATTTTAAAAACATTTGATATATTTTAATTCACAGTTATTCTTTTTTATGCTGAAATAGTCCCATCTTTGTGCAGTGAGTGTATTTAAATTGGCTCCTGAACCTTTTTTTTTTTTCTTCACCCCATAGCTTTTGACTCTTTGCTTTCTTTTATAATAAGGTACTGAAGGCTCATTTTCTATATATTTCCTGTCAGACCTGGAATCAGCCATATCTCCAAGAAGTCCTGGCTCCTTTAGTTTTTCCCATATGTTTTTGTTTTATTTAAATTCTTGTATCATTATAACTGCTCTCTCATTCAACAGAATGAACCTACGGAGAACTTTGCCTTCTAGTACTGTACATCCTGAAAACCGAAAAAGCACTTTACACACACACACACACACACACACACACACACACACACACACACACACATACATTTCAAGTATTTAGAAAGGTGCAGATAAGTACAAGTTCATACCATATCCCTACTGCTTGAAAAGTTAGGGAGAGAAAGGATAAGTCAAGTCCAGTTTTCATGTCATTTTTACTTGTAGTTCATAGGATGAGAATAGAACTTTTTTTTGAACCTTGCTTCTCCACTTATTCTGCCAGAAGTTCTATTTTTTTGTTTTTTTTGGTTTTTTTTTGTTTGCATCTGCCCATTTCTGAGGATATAGGCTTATGTTTGCTCCCCTAAGATTTCTAGGACATTTAGGACCAGTTGTAACGTTTAGTATACTTTGGCTATTTCTTAATAAATTAGGAATATCTCAAGGAGTTAACAAACTGCTTTGCTGGGATGAAGAGAGCAGCTTAGACTTGCTCTTTCTATCACGTTTACCATTGTTTCTTTTTTTGTATTAAAAAATCAGAAAAAGGAAACATCAAATTTAATTTAAGTTTTAAGAAAATCAGAAATTGTCTGAAAAAGCAATGGAACAAATCATCTAAAAAAGGAAGAGTGCTGCATCATGGTGATCACATTTATTGGAAGGGGTGGAAAAAAATAAAAATGCCACTTCGCTTAACAATTTGTGAGTTATCTGCAAATCAACTCCTTTCAGGAGTGGAAGAATCCTTGGTCAGTTTTTAGTATCAAAATTTATGCAGGTTTTTTTTGTTTTGTTTTGTTTTGTTTTTTAATATTCTTACATTTAAAGAGGCAATCCCACAAAGTCTCCTGTTTTCCACACAGGATAAATTCCTTGCTTCAACCAGCTCTCAATGGAGGGGCAACTAGTATAACACCTTCTTCTCAGACAAAGGACACTGGAATATTCCATTTCGTTGACTTATATGAGGTCGGACAGTTAAGTTCATGAACTTGTTGCAACGATGTTGCTAACCTTTTTTTGATATCAGAGGGATCATTCATTATGAATTTGTACCAATTGGACAAACAGTTAACCAAGTTTACTATTTGGAAGTGCTGAAAAGGCTGCGTGAAAAAGTTAGATGAACTGAACTTTTTGCCAACAATTCATGGCTCTTGCATCACAACAATACACCAGCTCACACGGCACTGTCTGTGATGGGGATTTTTAGCTAGTAAACAAATAACTGTATTGGAACACGTCCCTACTCTCCTGATCTGGCCCCCAATGACTTCTTTCTTTACCCAAAGATACAGGAAATATTGAAAGGAAGACATTTTGATGACATTCAGGACATAAAGGGTAATATGATGATAGCTCTGATAGCCATTCTAGAAAGAGAGTTTCAAATTTTCTTTGAAGGGTGGACTAGGTACTGGCATTGGTGCATAGCTTCCCAAGGGGAGTACTTCAAAGGTGACTGTAGTGATATTCAGCAATGAGGTATGTAGCACTTTTTCCAGGATGAGCTCGCAAACTTAATTGTTCGACCTCGTATACCTCTTCATATGTTTCTTTATCAATATCTAAGTAGTCACAGTTTCTTCCATATCTCCCAGTATCATATTTAATTGTTAATCATAAGCATGTAATCTACCTCAAAGCTCTCTGTCATTTTGCATTTTCACATAAAATGAGCCAGGGGCTCTTCTATGGGGTTGGTAGTTTATTGCTGGTTCAAGTCGTCTGACATGTTTCAAACCCTCACATCATTGTTTCTTTATTTTTCCTTTCATCCTAATTAGGTGAGAAGGAAAAATATGACACTTACTGTGTAAAATATTGTATAAAATAGTAACAGAGCACTAAGAACCTAATAACTATTAACTCTGAAGATTTACTTTTGTTATATATATATATATAAAACATATAAATATATATTTCATTTTATGAAATCTTACTTCAGTGACTAAAATACCTTATAAAACCTAAATGAAGAAGTTATGAGTAGATTTGATAGCATCATTAAAGTAGCTAATCAAGAATAAATTGTGTTCGCAGACATATGTAATGATTACAAATATAATGTTAATATTTACAAAACACTCCTTTATTACCATACTTATTGGATTTAGGTCACATTTTGGCATTTATTATGAACAGTTTAGAATTGTGCCTTCATAGAATAAATGCTTATTGTTGTGTCCTGACATTCATGACTTGTTCTCCTTTTGTCAAATGAGATTATTCTTTTATTAGCAGTTTGGGTGTAGGTCAATAACTAAAATCCTATTTACACAGCTGCCATGCAGTTTAGTCTTGGGACATGGTTCCAGTTTTAATGAATTAAACATTTGCTGTTACAACAGCTCAAGGCTATTGCTTTTGAGTAATAACCCTCTTCGTTTACCACTTACTACTCCAGCCTGCTGTCATTGTGTCTGTTTTTCCTTTCAATAGAGTCACGTGAAATGGGTTCATGATGAAATGGTAAATAAAAACTCCAAGCTAAAGCTAATTTATGTGACTCCAGAGAAAATTGCAAAAAGCAAAATGTTTATGTCAAGACTAGAGAAAGCCTACCAGGCAAGGAGACTCACCCGAATTGCTGTGGATGAAGTTCACTGCTGCAGCCACTGGGGTCATGATTTCAGACCTGGTATGTATGTCGTCTGCAGAAAACTCGATGCCAGGGGCTATTTCCTTACTCAGCTTTACATGATGGGGAAATCCCCGCTTCCATTACAGTTATTGTCTCGGGTAGTTATTACTCATTTTGTCTTGCCTTAATGTAAGGGGAGCCCAGAGGCAGAATCTTTAATCTCTTTACTCTCTCCACATAGTATTTAATTGCCTTTATCCTTTGAAACGTATGTTTATTAGGAAATAATATGCTCTCCACCTTTAGCTGTGAGATTTAGTGACCTCTCGTTCTCTCTTACACTTGTTGAGGGATTTGCATCTGCTTCCAAGTTGTCGTCTTCAGCCCTCATTCTGAGTGTCATTAGCTTCCACTTCCGGACCTGTGCCCGACTAGCTCCTCAGTGGTAAAGGGTCATGGGATATTTTACTCTTTTCTTTACTCTTCGCACCTAATCCTCCAGTCATACATAGCCTGAAGCAGATTACTCAGACTTGTTCTATGCAAAAAAAAAAATCTTAAATTAAAAAGTCCTGCTTTATGATTTCAACCTGTTTTTCTTCTGAACCTTCCTTCACGCTCATGTGGACTCCCTGGGTTCCTCCTTAAACCCTCCTCGTAGGTGTCCATAGCCCCAGTTTCTACATGACCGTCACTCTTTTTCCCATCCAGACGCTGTGGTGTTGCCACTTCTGTTATATTTCCCCTGGATTACCAGTCTGCTTCAGGCACGCACCGGACTGAGATGCTGGATCCGTCCAGGCTTCTGCTTTCTTCATTCCTGCTGTTTGACTGAGAACATTGTCGGAAATGAGTTGCATGACTGCATTAGTATGCACCTCAGTCCAGCTTTCATCATGCTCAGTTATCCTTCTACTTGTCCCTATTTCATCTCCTGTATACATTTCTCCCAACAAATGTACGTCTCCTCTTTCATTCCAGATTGTATGTGTTTGAGTCTTTTTTTTCCCCCCTTCTGGTGAGTCTGGCTTTAAAGTTTGTGTATTTTGTTTATCTTTTAAAAAAACCAGCTCTTTGTTTCATTGATCTTTTTTTTTTTTTTTTTTAAGAATTTTTATTGGGGAATTGGGGGATGGGATGGGAACAGCATTGGGGAATTGGGGGAAGGGGAACAGACAAGTTGCTGTCCTTTTGTTCTTCAGTCTAGTTGTGGAGGACGTTGCTTCACTGGTCCAAGTTGGCACCATCATTGGGCTCTTCCTGGGCGAGGCAGATCAGTCGCTGGCTTCTGGACGCCACTCACAGCGGCTGCTGGCTGCTCACTCTGGCTGCTGGCTACATACGGTAGCCCATGGCAACCCACCTGCTGTCGCCAGTGGCTCACAGCAGCCCAGCTCCAGGTTGAGCTGTTCAGCATTTTAGCTGTGGAGGGCAGTGTCACTGGCCCTCATATGTGGGATCTGAACTGGGGCCCTCTGGCGCCCCAAGCCAGCTCTTAACCAACGCGCCACTTGGCTGGCCCCTCATTGATCTTTTAGATTATGTTATTAGTCTCTATTTCATTTATTTCTACTATGATTTTTGTTATTTCCTTCCTTCTACAAATTTGGGCCTCGTTTGTTTTTCCTTTTCTAGTTCCTTGAGGTATAAAGTTAGGTTGTGTATTTGACATCTTTCTTCATTCTTAATGTAGGCATTTATTGCTATGAACCTCCCTTTTAGAACTGCTTCTGTGAATTCCCATAAGTTTTGGTATGCTGTATTTCTATTTTCGTTTGTCTCAAGACATTTAAAATTTCCTGTTCATTTTTTCATGTGTATCTAATTTAGCCTGACTACTGCTAAATCTTCCTCACCTCCCCCCAAAAAACCTTCCTTTTTTTCTTTCATTTCTGCAACTAGGACTCACTATTTGCCCTGTTCTACTAGATGTTCTGACCAAGAACTTTTGGTTTGCTTTCCTTCTCCCCACTTCTCTCAAGCTATTTCCCATTAAGTTTTCCCCTATCCTAGAAAATCATTCAACCACTCACATATTTGCTCAAGCCAGTTTTAGCAGTTACTTCTCAGTCAGGGTCCAGTCAGGAGACAGAAACCATACCAGTTATTTGAACACAGAGAAATTGATACAAAGAATTAACTAGGTAAAATTTGGTTATAAATAGCCAACTGAAAAAAGTAAAAGCTCTGTGGTATCATTGAGGTAAAAACTGAAGAAGCAACTACCATTGCTAGGGCTGGGGGCATAGGAAGAAAAGGTTGGAACTAACAAGGTTTGGAAACCTGGAGGAGGGGCCTCGTGGAGCTGAAAGAAAGAACTCCTTGGTGCTGGTGCCTCTTAATGGAGGCAGAGGTGTATGGGCCCATGATGAAGCTGGCTCTCCAAAGATTGGGAAAAGTGCCACCTGTATTCAGCTGCTGCTAAGGAGAGACTGCTGCTGCAGGGAGGAAAAAGCCTTGCTGGGATGACGTTGTCGAGAACACAGGCAAGCCCCCAGTTAGTAAACAGGAAGGAATAACACCCTCCTTCGTCCCCAGCCTTGTACTCTGCCCATCTAGGACCAGTTGGCAGAGCAGAAAAGTAGTGTGCACATTCCCGGCCCCAGCACCACAAAGCAGAGGATGGACGGGTGGAGTTGGAGCTGAGAACAAATAACTTAATAGATGACACGTCATCCTTGATTTAGTCCACCACCAAGTCCCATTAGCCCGACCTCTAAATTGAATCTCAAGCTTGTCCACTTCTCTTTGTCTGTACTGCTGTCTCTTAAGTCCAGCAGGCTCCTTCCCACTGGTCTACAGTAGGCCCCAGCTAGTCTCTTACTCCAGTCTTACCCTTTTCCTGCTCATTCTCCACACACCAACCAAAGTGATCTTTTCTACATACAAATCAAACCATGTTACTCCCCTCCCTAAACTACCCAGTAGGTTTTCTTTGTACTTCGAATAAAATCCATATTCTTAACTGGGGCCTGTAAGGCCATATGTGATCTGCCCCCTATTTGTCTTTGATTTCCTTTTCTTCCCCCCTCATTATATGTTCTAACTGCACTGAGTTTATCACTATGAGCACTTAACTCTCTCTGATAATAAGATACATTCCACTCATTGTATTGTCTGGTTTCTTTGCTTGAATTCTAGTTCCCTCTGCATAGCATCTTTGTCATGTTCACCACTTTCTCTCCAGTGCCTAGAGATATTCTTGGCATATAATACGAAGTATCGGACATGTTTGATGATGAACGGGTGAATCTTGGACTGTTTCCTCCCCTTTCCCTGTCACCCCAACTCCCCCAGGACCCTGATGGTCACTAGGACCTATGGGGTCTGGTTCATATGTTTTTTTCTATTCTTTCTTTTCTTTCTGATCCTGTATCATGCCTTATTTCTTATTCTCTATTGTTTTCTAGTCTGTTGCTGCCACCTTTTAACTGGTTTTCCTTTTTTTGGTCTTTTGCCTATTCCAACCCATCCTTTGCCACCAAAAGATGATTTCTGAAACCTAACTCTTTTTATGTGTCTTGTCTGCTTTTAAAATTGCACGATAACTCCTCATTTCCATTAGTAGGATAAAGCTTCTTAGAATCAACTAAGTCTTACCTTAAGCCTGCCTTTCTCTTTATACCCTTCTGTGTAACAGTGTCAGTCAGGGTTCGGGCAGGGAAGCAGAGCCTAACTATGACTGTTAGGAGATAAGGGATTTATGTTAGGAAGTAGACCCCCCACAATCGTGGGAGGAGCTGGGGAAGTGAAGGTCTGAAGAGGGAGTGGAGGCTCAGGGAAAAGTCCCCGACTAGTCCTGAAGCACTGGCGTGGGAAGAGCAGCATGAGCTTGTAGGGGAACCTACAGCTGGCACAGCCAGTGCCAGAGGCGGCTGCAAAGGGGACGCTCGCGAGAGGTCTCTGGTAAGCCACTTTCTTCGAGTAGCTGTTGCCTCTGGGTTCGCTGCCAAGCAGCTAGTGGGGCCCCTGTTGGTGAGCAAGGCCTGTGGTCGTGAGGAAGAGCTGACGGAGGAGTGGAAAGAGCTAGGACAAGCTAGACCTGGCTGGGCGTCTCTCCATCAGCCTCTGTGCCTGGAGAGGCCTCAGGCAGTAATGGCAGCTGGTTCACTTCTGCCTCCCATTCCTTGCTCAAGTTCCTCTTTGGGGCCAGATCTAACTCAGAGCCATACAGGGAGTACAGTTCCCTGCTTACCGGAGTTGACAGTAGCTCCATCCAGCACTTTGCTCTGTGGTTTAGACCCACAGAACTGCTTGTTGTTATCTGACCCTGCCGAGTAATGTCGTACGTCTGCCGTGTATATGCTGCTTCTGCCTGCCGTTTTCTCCCTCCCTTCCTAGTGAACTTCAGCTCATTCTTCAGGACCCAACTCAAGTGTCGGCTCCTTGCAAACCTCACAACTTCCCAAGCAGTTAGTCTCCTCTAGTTTCATAGGCGACATTTAGCAAGTTCTGCCACATTTTCTTTTCACTTTTCTCCAAATAATTTAAGTACTTAAGGATAACTTATCTAGTGATTTAAATGTGTATGACAAGGGTGACCCCAGAATGGTCCCCCTGAAGCAGGTTATATAAAAAGCAGTGCCCTCACCAACCTTTTTCTGGTCTGCACTTGTCGCTCTTGGGTGCTCCTGGTGGGAGAAGGGTCCTGGCTGGTGGCCTCTTTCACCTCTTGTCATCTGTAATAGAGTCAAACACTATGGCTTCTCCCACAGCCTCTTGAATTCTCTGTGCAGCAGGTGTAGACCAGTGCATAGCTGCCTGGAAACGTGCAGGTATTCCCTCTCTTCAACAAGGAGTTCCACTTGTGGCCAAGAGCAATGTTTTTGAAGAACCCGTTAAAAGTATAATAAAGCCTGCCTATTCAAGAAAGGCCGCAAGTGCAGATTTACTGAGGTCGAGAAGTGTGGACATCAATTACACAGCAGTTGTTGATTATCTGTATTATGTTAAAAGGCTTAATTTACTCTCTTCCTTAAAGGATGGAAAGAGGGCCACTTTGTATTTTCTTTTTTCCAGATTATAAGGCACTGGGTATCTTAAAACGGCAGTTCCCTAACACAGCACTAATTGGGCTGACTGCAACTGCAACAAATCACGTTTTGAAGGATGTTCAGGAAATACTGTGTGTTGAAAAGTGTTTTACTTTTACAGCTTCTTTTAATCGGCCAAATCTTTATTATGAGGTATGTAACTTTTATATCGGCTTACAGCTTTAGTGAAGGATTATGGCAGAGAGGTTACCTTTTCATTATGTTCATTTACATGAGTAACAGTTAACTACATTGAAAAGTTTTTAAAATCAGGAGGTAATTATAAGCAGATTCATTAATGAATGCTTTCTTCTTATATCTCTTGTGCTTTTATCTCTTCTACAGTAGGTTAAGTAGAAGACACTGACTTGTTAAATTTATGTACTTTTTTGTAAGGATGGAGAGAAAGCACAGACTGATACCAAGGACCCTAACGACATCCTACTGAAATTAATTAGAAAATAATGCAAAATTAATATGTCATTAAAGATTTGCTAATACTACCTATTTACATTATATTTGATATATAACCTTGAAAGTTAAATAACCTAACAGCTGTTTGTTCTTTCTAATCCTTTTAAGAATGGACTTCATATTTTTCCAAGTTTTTGTTAAATAGTTATTTATGCCATTGTTTATGGTTTTATAAAAGTAGCAGCAGACGGTAAAGTCTGAATTTTTACTGCTTTTCACTGCTTCTGTGCCTCCTCATCTCTGGTAAATTCAAAAATAAGGATGAAGAAGAGGCTGGGAGGTGGCAGGGGTGAGGCAGACGAGGTGAATCAGACGAGGGAGTGAGAGTAACAGAAAGAAACGCTATGCTCATGAAAGAATAGTGTCTTGAAAGTTTTAAGTAAGTGATTACTTGGATGGTACTCATTAATATACTTTTTAATAAGTTAGCTTTTTTTAGGTTCGGCAGAAGCCCTCAAACACTGAAGATTTTATTGAGGATATTGTGAAGCTCATTAATGGGAGATACAAAGGGCAATCAGGTAATAAAATAAACCAACTTTGAAGAATGAGAGGGAACTTTAAAAAAAATTACTAATATTGCACTGATACAATATGCTGATAAATGATTAGCACCAAAATATATGAATGTATGGCGGAAGAAACTTGAACATGTTGTAGCAAAATTAATTTGCTCGGTGATCTTAGAAACTGGGTGTGGCATTTGCTAATGATTATAAGAACCTTAAAATTGATTTATTTTTGCTTATTTATACTTAATTGCTTTAAAGAATGGATTTAATGACATAATGTTCATTTTAAACAGCACATTTTAGTAAGTATCCACTGTTTATAAAATAAAAGGTAAGCACTGATGTTCTAAACGGATATAAAATATAGTCCCTTATAGGAGAGGCCACATTAAGGAAATAAATAGTACATATTGAATGAGTTAAGTATAGGTGGAGTTGAGCATATGTATACATTCATTCAAGGATTAATAAATAAGCAAGTGTTCCTGAAACAAAGAGTCTGTGTAAAAGTAGCATTTCAAAACTGTCCTATGGATTTTTGGGAGGTATTAATGGGTGCCCTGGGTAGAAGGAGTTCCAGGGTGAAACAAGTGCGAAAGGCCGCTGCTAATTATTCCTCCTGAAAATTTAACACATTAGAGGTTCCGACCAGCTCTGCAAATAAATAAACTTGTTTAATTTTGTTCAGTGCAGTTCCCCAAACTCATCTGCATGTGAAACTTTTTCCCCAGCACACTTGCTAACATCTTATGGAGAAACCAGTGTGAGCAATACTACGTAGTGGGAGATAAAGTTGGAGAGAGAAGAGAGGTAATGGGAGCCAACACTGGTGGCTTGGCTCGTTTCTGCTGGGGATCAAATCTTGAATGATACCACAAAGTTAATGTGTTCAGGGCTTGGACTTTTTCATAGATCCTTTTCCCCCCATGCATTGTATTAATCAGTATTTGAGTGTGTGTGTTAAAAATTCTCTTCCAGGAATGCATTGTATATATCTAACAACTGGACATATTTTCCTACAGGAATCATATATTGCTTTTCTCAGAAGGACTCTGAGCAAGTTACAGTCAGTTTACAGAAACAGGGGATTCATGCAGGTGTATACCATGCCAATATGGAAGCAGAAGATAAGACCAAGGTTCATGAAGGATGGTCAACCAATAAAATTCAGGTTAAGTATACATCTTCAATAGTAGCCTAATTCACCTTTAAGAATATTTGAGCTTGACTTAACATGTAAAATGTTAAAACATTTTAGGTAGTCGTGGCAACGGTTGCCTTTGGTATGGGAATTGATAAGTCAGATGTGAGATTTGTGATTCATCATTCAATGAGTAAATCGATGGAAAATTATTACCAAGAGAGTGGACGTGCAGGTGTGTATAACTTAAACCCAGAAGTCATTTTTTCAATAGCTTTTCCAGAAAGCACACAATAAATGCTGTTTAATAATTCTGTATTTTTAATCTCTATTAGCTACTATTTTTAGAGTAAACCATTAAGTCTTCCAGTTTTATACTTATTTGCCTATGGAGAAATTACATTTATGTTCTATTGGAGTGTTATGAATTATTTCTTCTTATGTTTACTAAGATTATTTGATGTCCATCTTTGCCTCCTGAATTTTTACTTGGTAGTTTCCAATCTATAACTAAAATAACTGGATTACTTATGGACCCATTTTTTAACTAATAAAACTGATTGCTGATAAGTCTCTAGTTATTTTTTTTTTTAATTGAGGGCAGCTATTACGAACTAACTTTCACATCTGTCTGAAATTTCTAGATGTAATATATTTAGACAATGAAGCATTGCCAGCTAATTTTACATATATTATTTTTGCTTGTTTTGAATTTTTAAAGTAATGCAGTCTCAACATCTTTCATACTACAGGTCGAGATGACATGAAAGCAGACTGTATATTGTATTATGGCTTTGGAGATATATTCAGAATAAGTTCAATGGTGGTAATGGAAAATGTGGGACAACGGAAGCTTTATGAGATGGTGTCATACTGTCAAGACATAAGCAAGTAAGCCACATACTTTTTCATAACTTTTGTTAATTAAAGACAAACACAATTTGAAAGTCTATGATGTTACTTTGAGTACTTAGAAAAGTCAGTAAATACACTGATAGAACATCAAGTGCAAACATGTAAAATCAGCTGTGTGAAGGGTGGAAACCAGTACATGAATCTGCAGGACCTGCCTTAATCCAAGAAAAGATATTCTCTCTCTCTCTTCTCTCTCTTCTCTCCTCTCTCTCTCTCTCTCTCTCTCTCTCTCTCTCTCTCTCTCTCTCTCTCTCTCTCTCTCTCTTTCTCTCTCATAAAGGTTTTGACACAAATTGACAGTTCAAGCTTTTTTTCTCTGGCACTTGTGTACAGCTACGTGCATTAATAATTTTGAAAAGGTGTTGTAAGAGATGTTTTGAGAGTTGAGCTTAGGAACACATACCATCCTACCAAGCTGATGGGCTGATGAAATAATTGAGAGCAGGATCAAGTTTCCCCTTAAGAAATAAATGTAAATCTATTTAGGGTGGCTCTAGTTAGAGCATATAGCTCTCTGATGGCTTCTTGGTCTTAGTCATCTTTGTACTCTTATTGCCCATCCCATAAAAAGGACTCAGAAATTTTGAAATGATAAGCAGTGGCTGGACAGTGACAGAAAATGTAATTTTTTTCCTATAGTTGCTTCAATAATCTAGTTAAAGTAATGAGAAAATGAAATTTTTCTTAGATGTCCGGTAGATCCCATGAAGCATGTTTTGGGGTTTAGACTTGAATTGATACTGTGAAATACGAGAAAACTTTTTTGCTACCAGGAAGATTAATAGTTGTAAAATATTGAATCTCAAAATGAATCTCGGACTTCTTAAAAGCTGTATTTATCAAGTACATATGGAAAAAATATGTGGTGGGCAGACTAATGGTCCCCAAAGATGTCCACATCCAAATTGCTGGAACCTGTGAGTATATTACCTTACAGGGCAAAAGGGAATTAAATTAAGGTTATAAGTGGAATTAACATTGCTAATCAGCTGATCTTAAATTAGGGAGATTATTTTGGATCATTTGGGTGAGCCCAGTGTAATCATGAGGGTCCTTAAATGTGGAAGGAGGCAGAAGAGGGGAGGAGGTCAGAGTGATGTGATATGAAGATTCAGCCCCCTGTTCTTGGCTTTAAGGTGGAGGAGAAGGGTCCAGGAGCCAAGCAACACAGGCAGTCTCCAGAAACTGGGAAAACCAGTTCTTACAGGAGACAGATTCTCTCCCCTGGAGCCTCCAGAAGAAATATAGCTCTGCTGACATCTTGATTTTAACCCAGTGAGACCCATGTCAGACCGCTAGCCTCTAGAAACGTAACATAATAAATTTATGTTGTTTTAAGCCACTAAGTTTTTGGTAATGATATGGCAGCAACAGGAAACTAATACAATATATAAGCCTGTATTTTGAAATAGGGATTCTTAAAACTTTATTGGATGACTTTATAATTTGTATCTCTAAATGTGTTTGCAGATGTCGCCGTGTATTGATAGCTCAACATTTTGATGAAGTGTGGAACTCAGACGCGTGTAACAAAATGTGTGACAATTGCTATAAAGACATTTGTGAGTTCATTGATTTTTAAACTTTTATAGGCTCATAGATATGAATAGGACTACACAAGGGCAGTATTAGACCCCAAAATGGATTTGAAAGATTATACAAGGTATGAATAGAATCTTCCAGATTCAAAAGTAACAATAGCTTTGAAACAAAGGCAAATAAAAAGGCCATATGTTTATGCATATATTTTATATTGCCATGCTGAGGGCATGTGAAATTTTTAAAAAATGAAGGAAAAACTTTAAATTCCTCTGAATAAAAATGCTACTTACATAAGAAAAGGCTAACCTCATCATAATCTCCAGTAGTTTATAGTAACTGATTGGGGAGAGAACTTTAGTGCAAAATAAGAGATTATAGTGAATCATTTTTGATCCAGATAATGGCTACTCATAAGACACTAATTTACCGTGTTTTAATGCTCTATTTTAGCTTTTCTTTCATCCTTTGGTTTTTAAGAGCTAGACTAACCAGTTCCTCACTGAATTCTGATGCTTTGGTGGATGAAAGTCACCGCAATTTTAATTTTGCAGCTAGAGAAAACTTGTTTGTGAGTTTATTAGACCATGTTAACAAGAGCCTGATATATAAATTAGGATGCTAGCTAGTATCAGTTAATAACTGGGGATATCTGTCCAGGACATTCTTGTGTCCAAATCAGAGTAGCTGTGAAGCCATACTCATTTTCAGACTAAGGCTTAATGAGCACACATCAGGTAAATATGCAGGATAAACTGGCTCTCCCATAAACACCTCTTGGTATCTGCCATCATCATGACTGGCAGACACTCTGGTTCCTAGAGCATACCCAAAGGCCATCTGATAACCAGCTTATTTTCTTTACATCACTGTAAATGCCAGTGTCTTAGGCCTATGACTTGGTTAGTGCTGGAGACTTGGGAAATGGCCTAGTTTTAATGCAGAACACATTAACAAATCAATCTGATGCCTTGTTTTTAAACCCGTTTTACCACTTAGGATAGCCCATCTTTGCCCTAATTTCTAACCCCAGTTGCCTATAACCATGTCTCTTTCATTATAGCATTTGAAAGAAAGGATGTAACAGCCTACTGCAGAGATCTCATCAAGGTCCTGCAGCAGGCAGAGGAAATGAATGAAAAGCTCACGCCACTGAAACTGATGGATTCCTGGATGGGAAAGGGTGCAGCAAAACTGAGAGTAGCAGGCGTTGCTCCTCCCACACTTCCTCGTGAAGACCTGGAGAAAATTATTGTGCACTTTCTTCTACAGCAGTATCTTAAGTATCTACAAACCCATTTCTTGTCCTTTATGTTGTCTTTATGACTATTTTAAATAGCGCACTATACTTTTATTTTTTATTCATGGAATAAGTATATACAGAGGGTGCTAAAAAAATATATACACATTTTGAGAAAGGAAAAAAAAACTATATTAATATTGTTATACTCTAAGTATATACCAATAACAAAAGATGAATATAAGTCACATTTGACTTCTGCAATTACAAGAGGTGCCCCAAGTGGTTACCATCAGTGTAATTTTAATAATTTTTTCCTTTCTTAAAGTATATATACATTTTTTTGGCACCCTCTGTATTTTCCCAGATTACTTTGAAGAAAAACCCTAATTTGGATATATAACAATAACAATTGTAGAATACTTTGTTATAATTTTCACGTATATTACCTCATTTAATCTTAGCAACTTTGTGAGATGGGTAGAATAAACATTCTCATTATCTTAATTTTAGAAATAAGGAAACTAAGACTTTACAGGCATTAGTTATATCTCAGTAGATCCATAAATAGGAGAGATGTTAAACTTAATAAAATGGTAGAATGTCCAAAACCAGTATTACCAAAAAAATGATGGTTTATTCAATCACAAGAATTAAAAATTGGCCAAGTAAAAATGGATAGAATATTTTCTTCCACAGTCATGAGTCTTTCTCATTTTTATAATTGCAGAACAAATGGTTTTGCAGTTGTTTCATGTGAACTTTGAACACTATACAAAATTTACCTAATAAGCTACTTTAATTGATCAGTGTGTCAAAAACACAGAACTAAAATACTTTCTATAAAGATAAATTGCACTTTTATAGTGTAAGTTTATTTTATATCAATATATTACTTAAAATTATTGCACTTCTGGTTATTTTTATAAATTTCATTGTTTTCTGTAATTCAGAACCTTTCTAATTGTTGGCTTTTATCTTCTGCAGAGAAGACTACAGTTTTACAGCTTTTGCTACCATTTCATATTTGAAAATAGGACCTAGAGCTAATCTCCTGAACAATGAGGCACATGTTGTTACCATGAAAGTAAAGAAGTCCACGCAGAGCTGTTTCAGGGTAAATGACTGGCTATTAATTTTCAACTATTTTAAAAATACGTTAAAGCCTATGGGATGCTTTTAACTAGTACTCTCCTAGGCCCAGTTAAACATAAGAGGTAAGTCAGTTTTGTTCTTAGAATTTGGGTATGGAAGAAAGAAAAGATACCTTTGTTTTCTGTGCAGACATTAAGTGGAAGAATTTAGACTAGCTTTTTAACATAGATGAGGGATTTCCAACCTTTTGGAATGTTAATAGTCCATTTTAATGTCTGATTTTGTGTTGCGCCCTGCCCTTGTGATACTGGTCATGATCAATGTTGGCTGAGAAGCCTGCTGCTGAAAACCAGTTATAAATACTATCGAGCCTGCAAAAGCATGTGATGCACAGTTGTGTCTAAGGACACTTCAGGCGCCCTTTAGGGGTTCTCTGATGGCAGAACCCCTTTTATTCAAGATGGGGCTCATTCATATTTCAGTAGAAATTTGAAGATAAAAACCAGACCACTGGACACTTAAAGAGCTGATACAGAAGAACTACTGAGATTTTTAATCTCATGAGGAAAACAGAATAGCCCAATTTTAACAGTGTTTGCTTTGTTACTGTTTTGTAGATTGAACCATCTGAAACTTGTCATTCTAAAGGAGCTGATAAAAAGAGGGAAGAAAAAAAGTCAGGTAACTTCCAGAAGAAGTCTGCAAACATGCCTCAGCAATCTGCTTCTAAGAGTACTGGGGCTAAGAAAAGAAAAATTGATGATGCATGAGAGGAGTGTTTCTAAATTTTCCAAGGAAAGTATTTATGCACGTGTGCACCATTATTTTTGTAGTTAATAAAAGTTTAAATTTTAAGGCAATTTCATTAATATTTTACACACGTGGAGCTATATTTTAAGAACTTCTTTCTAAACTGTTGAAGACTTGAGAAGTTGAGACCTGAAAATTTAAGAGCATGAATTGTATAAATTTAAAGTATGAAATGAGGGGGGAAATTTTTTTAAATGTAAAACCATTTAAATATAAAATACTTAAGAGAATAACTTCACATAACTATCTTAAGCTCTTTATGCCTTGATATACCTAGTTATATATATTTTTTTACTATCTTTTGACAGCAGTGTTATTTTACTAAAAATTTTACATTGGCTCATCACACAAAGTGAGTGATTTCAGGATATAACAACATGTAGAAAGCAAACAAAAAAGGAATAAGGTAGCAATATAAATAATATCAGCAAGTAAGATGGCTACATCTCTGTATAATTAAAATAAAACTATAAGCTTGAAACTGTAGCCCTATTTTGATATTTCACAAAGAATGGCTCTGGTCTACTAACCAGACCCAGCTGTTGTCTAAGTAGATAACAGTCTAGCTAAATTTGGTCCAAAGCTAAATCATGAATGAATGTGTCGAAGTTTAAAACACAGAAATGAATAACTTGAAAATCCTTATCTAATTAGTGGTCAGTTTTGTGTTACCAAAAAATATATCTGTAAATGAATTATTTGAACTGATTTTATCTTCAGAATTTTATTTTTAAATACTTTTCCACAAAAATCTTATCACGTCTGTATTTTTAACTTCAGTGTTATCATCATTAAATCAGTGTAGTCATTTCCTTTATTCACTTGAATGTTGTCATATTTGAAACTTTACGTGGTTCTTGAAATGCCCTTTTTAGTCAAAATAATCTTCTATGTCAATGTTTGGATCTAGTAGATCTTCTCCATATGATGAAAGATTCATCTGGTTTAATATTAAGTTTTCAAATGTTTCTTCTAAATCGGTTTCACCAATTAAGACAGCTCCCATCATTCGCCCATTTTGCATGACGACTTTGACGTATTCTTGTCCTTTGGTGCATCTCAGCATTAATTCATGATCTGAACCCAAGCTTTGTGCATTGTATTTCCCCAGCAATACGACCTATATATATGTAGGGATAAAAAGGTTATTTTGGTGAGTACCAAAAAGGAAAGGTAATATCCAATTATTTTGTGTTATGCTAGAGAGGCCAGAAGAAAAATCTGTTCACAAAACTTCATAGCTAAGAATGTCATTGGGGAAGGTTTTAAAGAAAACATTTGAATGGCATGCGTTTATTCTATAGATAACACCATACAATCTATATGAACATTAAAAATATCCAGTGAACAAACACATATCTAAGACATGGACTACATTAGCCTGGAGTCATGATTTAAAGTTTTAACAAAGAACTGTGTTAGATCTTTCATGGGCAAATTACTTAATATCCCTGAACCCTGTGTATGTGTGTTTCTCCTTATCAGTAAATTAGGAAGAAAAAACGTGCCTCAGTGTAATGTAAAGAGGATTACGTAAGATAACAGTATAGTGGGAAGGTAGGTAATGATTATCAGATGATTAGAAATTAAGATCAATAATACTAGGTACTGATTTGCAAAAAATTTGAAAATAGGTCATTTTTTAATAAAATGATTAAAACCATATAAATTTTTATTCAACTAAGAAAATTAAATGATCACAGTTAGTTATAAGACAAACAAGTGAAAAAGGTATTAAATTGCTTATCTATCTTACCTTATAGTTAAAAAATTTTGTTACATGAGCAAAAAGTTCAAAGCTGAAATCCATATCGATAGAATCTCCTACACTGGCTGCGGCCATACACTTCGCTGCATACCATCCCATCTGTCTCGCCTGGGTCCACAGCCTCATCTGAAATAAAATATGTGACACAATATAATTTTTCACTATCATTACTTGAAAAATGTTACCACCTTAACCTTGTGAAATTCCTTAAAGGGGTTCAATGTTTGACAGTCCTTAAGATTGGTTAAATCCTCTTTGCCATAGAAGCAGTCACCAATCCACATGAACCAAACTGATTTTGGTATTTGATACTTCTAAATTACTGCTTATAAAAATAAAAGATGACACCAACTTATATGTTTCAATAAAATGTCTATTAAAAACTACTAAAATATTGCAGGTTACACCAGGTGAGAACATTTTAATTAGCCAGTCCCCTCTTCAGAGTAAGTTTCTCACCAGCATTAATAGAGATGCCATATTATTACTGAAAAATTTGTTCCTTTTCCTAATCCTCATCTTTTGGTGCTAGATAGTTAAGGCCTACTATGCAATTTAACCTTAATGGTCAGACAGACAGATTATATCATTTGTTGCCCAGCCCACGACATCATATCAGATTTCAGCAACTGATTCTCTGGGAAGTCAGTTAAAATTCTCTATAACAATATTCATTTCTCCTGTATTGTACTGTACTGTACTTCTACAAAGTTTCAGGATTCCTTGGTATAAAAGAATACTGGCCTTGGAAGGCAGATTGGCATATCAACTCTTCTATGTGTTTATTTAACTTTCCTGCGCCTTAGTTTCTTCACTTGAATCGTAAACACACACCACCTCCTTCATGGCATTGGGAGAAGTAAACAGGTTAGCCTATAATCAGCAATTAGTTTCATTATACCCTTATGTGTTTCTTTTTTGTGTGCAAAAATAATACCACAACCATGGATATAAGCTTCAAGCATTTCTGATACAAGTGATAGATCACTATCTTTTTAAATTGAGTCTTCTCCCTGTAAGTAAGTTAGGTTTGCTGAAGCTAGAGGCAAGGTAAGGGAGCAGAGTAAACCGAACACAGTAAAACTAGAGAATGGCTAAAGAAAGTGGCCTGCACTATACACTGCTGAACTATTTCCTAATGTACACCAGGCTCAAAGTCCCTCAAGTTTGCACCTGGGAATATGTAAGACAAATTATTAGTGTACTTATTGCTTCTGCAAATTAAGAGATGGGGTCTAGGGCCAGCTGAGTGCATTGGTTAAGAGTTGGCTTGGGACGCCAGCTCTGAGCAGCAGGGCCCCGGTTCCGATTCCACATGAGGACCAGTGACACTGCCCTTTACAGCTAAGATGGTGAACAACAGCTCGACCTGGAGCTGGGCTGCCGTGAGTCACCGGCGACGGTGTAGGCTGCAGTGGAGTTACTGTGAGTGGCTGACAGCCAGCGTGAGCTGCCGTCCAATGGCCGGCGAGTGACCGCCTCACCCAGGAATAGCACAATGATCATACCAACATGGGCCAGTGAAGCGATGTCCTCTACAACTAGACTGAAGGTCAAAAGGACAACTTGTCTGTTCCCCTTCCCCGATTCCCCCAATGCTGTTCCCCTCTCCCAATTCCTCAATAAAATCTTAAAAAAAAAGAAAGATGGCGTCTACTAGATTTACGCAAAGCGAGACACCTGCTTATTTTGGGGTATTTCTTTCCTATATCAGAGTATGATGCACATTAAGGATGTAATTTCTCCTAAAGAGTTTAAAATGTTTAAAATAATCCCACAAACTCCAACTCCTACTTGAGAGTTTGTGACAGATAATGCCACAAAAATGACATAGGAGGATTGTAGACAAAACTGAAAACAAGCTAGTTTGAAGCATTTTAGGAAGAAGCTGAAAGCACTCTCATTAATGATGTTATCTCTGCTGTACATAAAGAAACACAAAATAATGAAGCTGCCTCTTAAAATGACCCAGCCCTTCCACTACCACACTCTATAGTTCATCTGAATTAATGAGATCCCTACCTGTGGAGCTGGTCTTTCCCCAGATAAGTGTTGACTGGTTCTTTTATCTCTAACATCTGCTTATGTCTCCACTCCTCCTAAAACATCCTCACCTGTACCCAAGGTCTGAGCATCTTCTTCTAGTATTTTTGCTCCACTATTAGGAAGTAGGCAACGCTGAGGGTAGGAGGAAGTCTAGATCCAGTTGGAAGCACTTGTTAGGCTGAGGAAGGCTGTCCACTAAAAGAACATTTTTTTTTTCAGTAGCAATTCCCATAGGAACAGAATGTTTTATCTTATGGCTTATAATCTCAATAACTGCTTGTTGTTTTTTAATCCAAAGCTGTACTGTACAATATAATATGGTGGTCAGTAGCCACATGTAACTATTTAAATTTAAATTGATTAAAATAAGTAAAATTCAGTTCTTCAGTTACATCAGCACATTTCAAGTGCTCAGCAGACACATGTGGCTAGTGGCTACCTGACTGGACAGTGCAGAAGTATAGAACATTTCTGTTATCACAGAAAGTTCCACTGGACAGTGCTGATAAGAATCTGAGTAAAAAAGTAACAGCTCAGAACTCTTTAAATTAAAAGATATCCTAGCCTATTCTATCACTATAATAGTAACTTACCTAAAGGGAAAACCTTTTTTTTTAATATCGCAAAAAACTCTTGCCATAGCTTCCTACTTAAAGTAGAAAAACTGGAAAACCAGAAAGTTGGATTTGCTGGTATCAACGCCTTTGCTTTCAGATGGACTCTGATAAAACATGTGATCACATGTGCTGGCTTACCTGCTGCCAGACGGGGCTGGGCTGCCAGGATGCAGTGCAAATGTCACCTGCAGCATAGACATCAGGAAGGGACGTGTGCATGTGATCATCCACTTTCAGGCCACCATCTTCTCCTAGATCAAACTAAAGAATGTTCCTCATAAGCATATGTGGTAAGCAAAATGAAATACGACTTTTCATTGTAAAGTAAGAAATAAATTTTTACACCATGATATGCTCATCTTTAATGAGAAAGTGAAAAACAGCTGCAAAGTTTAGACAACTAAGCTGAATTCCCAGGGAATCAAATTCCTACTAAAGACAGACAAACCCATAAGATTCTTAGAATTTCAGCATCATAAATGTTGAACAACCATACGACTATCCCCCATTCATAATTACAATATTCAGATTTTGTAAGCTTCGAATACTAAAACAAAAATATAGCTTTGCTAAATAAGAAATCACATTTAAGAATTCATAGGTGTCAGTATCTTTCTAACATTTAGATAAATTATGCATTATGGCGTACTATTTAAGGACTCTAAAACAGTAAAGAAATACTGCAAAGCAAGACATGAATATAAACTAAATTGTTTTCAGCTACCCTAAGTTACTTTTGTACTAAAACAATGAACAAGTATTCATGCTTGAGAATTAGAGATATTAATAAATAATTAATATTTAGCAATATGCATGGTGGGACAAAAAATTTCACCTTACATTGTTGCCACAGAGAAAAGGTTCTATATTAGGTATAACTCCTGTAGCACTGACAATGAAATCGCAGCCATATATCTTTTCATTGGTCAATTCCACATATACAGGCCATATCTCTTAAAAAAAGAAAAAAAAGAGTTTGTTCTCAAATGTAATGCATCAACTTTCTATAGCATTATGTGAATATAATAACTAGAACAAAAAAAGAAAAAGGCAGGCAGGAGATGATTTTAAAACAACATTCCTTAATAATTTGGAAAAGGCACATTTGCTAAAACAAGTTTAAATCCAGTAACCTCATCTTGTTTTGGGTATCATTACAAAGCTATGGCATTCTAAACAAATTTCCTTCAAATTTAGACAAATTCTAACAAAGTAAATTTAAATAACTTTATAAATTATTTCTTTAAAAATAATAATAGAGTATACTTCACTGAGAGCTTAGTCTTAACTAGGTTACTCATCAATGTTTTCCTTTTCTATTCATATTGAAACTAACACTCCCTTTTCCTATGGGAAAACTCAAAGAATTCTGAACTGGAATATTTC